GTTCACTCGGACATCCAAGTACACAAAGAGGAGCCCACTAGGATTAGCTTCCCTCTAATTGGTGGTTTCGATTGGTGGTTCGGTGGCTACGGAGGGGTTTCTCGTTAACCCTCTACAAAAGCTCGGGGCTCAAATCCCCAAACCCATCCAAACCACCAACCAAGGGTTGCCTGAAATAGGAGCCCTGAAATGGTAAGCAGAATTCGGTGGGTCCCAATTCAGGTTCACCACTTCTAACGTGGTCCCCAATGTAAATTCCATAGCCACGTGTCTTTGTTGGGAAGACCCATCCAGACCAAAAGGAAAAAAAGTCGAAGGCTCTCTAAGGAACCCGAAGAAACCCTAGGGAACCCGTTTCGGGGCTCTCAACCACCCACCCCCCAATGCTACTTCCTATCCAAGGCAGCCATCCGAACCACGAACCTGACAGGTGACCTGAAAAGACTGGCTGGTGCAAAGCGTAGGGAACGCATTGGAATGAGCCCAGGCGTTTTGGTCTCCCCTTAAAGGACAAGAAACAGTTGACTCGTTCTTCTTGGGGTTATTCCATTTCTCATTCCCTGCATCTCTCGCACTTGAGGGAAAAGAAGGGGGGTGCTCTTAAAGAAGCCACGGTTTATAGAAGCCATTCCAATTCTCATTCCCTGCATCTCTGGCACCAGCAAGTTTTGGGGAACCCCTCTTGGGCTTGTTTTCTGTTGAGGAAACCAAAGGGAACGCCAAAGTTGGACGCCAAAAGGACAAAGGAGTATCCATTTCTTTGCGGGCGCCGGCCAGTCAAACGAAGCCACCCCGGCCCGCCAGACCGCCGGATCCCTCCTGGCGCATGTGGTCGTACTGCGCCCGCAGCGCCCGGATCCGCCGGTCCTGCAGCGTGTCCTTCTCCGCCAGCTGCGCCTCCAGCGCGCCGATGCGCTCGCGCAGCTCACGCAGCTCCTGGCCCCAACCGGCGACAAAGCCGGGAATTGCCGTTCAGAGATACCCGGAATCGGGATAAGGCGTTTTTTTCCCGTAACGTTGGTATTTACTGTACAGGGGAAAAAAGATTTGTTACTGACTGAGCCCCTATTCATCAACCCCTGTTTATTAATAGGGGGTGTCCATTTCTAGGTTTAGTGAGGAATCAGACCACTTTTGGAGGCCTAGTAGTAAACTGGGGTTTATTAATAGTCCACATTACGGCTCAGAGAAGCCCGGACTGGGAATGAGTCGATTCCCCCATAGAAACCAACAAACCAAGGGGTACAATGTGTGTTTTCCCCTGTAAATACCAACAAATGTTATGGCTTCGAGCATATCATATGGTTTCTTGGGTGGTGCAAACGGATTTCATCCAACCACAGTACTTGCGTGTTCGGCTGGCGTAAGTTGTTGGTAATCTTCACTTAAAAGGGCCTTAGGGTGCAGGAAACGCCTTCGTGCATAGATCTCCGGGAAAGGAGCCAAAGGCACTTTGGAATCCAATGGTTACTTGGGTGTTCAGCCAAGTTGGTTGTTGGCAACCAAGGTTATAACCCACTTCTTAGTCTCCCGTTCAGTGGGGCTAATCCTGTTAGTGGCTTAGAACCCAAGTGGGTGGTTGAAAATACGATAATGGTATTATTGAACCTGTGATTCTTGCATAGGGCACACGGCAAACCACATCATAACCTCGAAACCACCAAGCCAAACCACCAAATGAGCAGCAAACGGCTACATGGTTAGTAAGGTAGTATGTTCACCTACTAACATGCCAAAGTAGGGTGTTGGGCGCTGCTGAGGTGAAAACTCGAAAAGTATGGTTGGGTGGAAAAGGTGGTATGAAAATGGCATACTCATCATGGTGCTACTGGAAAGTTGTTCTTCAAGCGGTGGGGGAAAAAACCACGGTGCGCTCCTGAAGTTGGCATTTGAATCGATGTGTTTTGATGTGCTCAACAAATAGCAAGTTCGAGGTTTGATCTTGTGGGTGAATATACTGGGCGTGTACAGCTGTTCTATCTACAGTGGGCAAACCATTTGATGGAAAGGTGTTCTCAAAATGGTGCTATTAAAAGGGCAGTATTAAAACGGGACGCTTGCAAGTTCAGGAACAAACCAACGAACGAACGAACGCACGAACAGACAAACAAACAAGCAAGCAAGCAAAAGAAACAAACAAACAAACAAACAAACAAACAAACAAACAAACCATCAAGCTATGAAGCAATCAAGCTATGAAGCAATCAAGCTATCAAGCCATCAAGCAAACCAAGCAATGAAGACATTAACAAACAAACCCCAAAGAAGCCAAACAGCGGCCGAGGGTCCTTCTTCTCCTCAGGTGGCACCTCGCAGGCATGCTGCTGGGCCCCATAAGGGGGGGGAGCCTTTTTGGAGTTGGCGCCCGGGCACAGTTCCTCGAGAAAAAGTGAGTCATCCAAAAGGACCTGAGCTCCTTTAAAGCGGGGGGGGGTTGTGCAGGGGGAGAAGGGTTGGGGGTGGGGTGGGGGGGTGGGGGGGATTGCCCTACTTAGATGGTTAGTGAGCCTCGTTGTAACCCACTTAGCATGGTTACAAGTCCCCTATAACCAGGGTTACTAACCATTTAGCGATTCGTCCAAGACCATCTAAGTAAGGAGCTCCTTTGAAGGGGGAAAGGGACCTCCTGAGGCAGGCTTTGGACTTCAAAAAGCGGCCTTGGCCCAAGATGCTTGGGGTGACCAATGCTGACCCGGATCAATCAACCCGCCTAGTCTATTCATATGTTGACGTTGTTGCTTGAGGGGGGTTCCCTGTTTTTGCTTTGCTTTTCTTTTTTCTCGGAGGATCTAGTAGTCCGTGGTCAACATCAACTGCCTGGTGCATGGGGGACCCTCCAAAACATTTCGGTGGGAAGTGTAGCCATCAGATTTGCGGTTCCCGAATCAAAGTTCACAGCCTAATTGAAAATCACCATGTTTCTCTGGTGCCAGGGGAAACCTTCAAATCGTTTGCGATAACCATCAATCAAAACCACGCCGTGCTGTTCAAGAATCTACCACTTCTTTGGAACTGAGCAGTTGACTTGAGGGAAAGGTGTTCAACCCATGGAGCGGGGGTCCTTGTTTTGAGGCCGCCCCATGTCCATTTCGTGATGTGGTACCCTTTCGCACAAGGGAACGGATGATTGGACACCTCTATTTGAGTGTGTCTCTTCATGAATGGGACCCCCCAAAATGGTGGGTTTCCCTTTAAAACAACCAAAACAGGGGGGTACCCTCAAAAAATGACAGACCTAGTCTGCAACCGTTTGCAATATAATAAGTGGGTAAATGGTCATCCCTCGGTTGCGATCCGTCCGGTCCCGTCCAATTTTGAAATTGGACCCCCAAAAACAAACAAACAATGGATTTCTTTTTAAAGCCGCCACAAAAAGGAACTTGCCACTCCAAAAAGCAAACGTTGGTGTCCCTTTTAAAGCCCCAAAAGCCACAAAACGCCGAGGCCAAATTTCCAAATCCCCCCCCCCCGCGCCCTTCCCCCCTCCCCCCCCTTCCCGCCGACCCCGACGACGCCGAGAAAACGGCGCCTCGCAGGCCTTGATCAGCGCCAGGAGGCTGTCGGGGTTCCGGCGGCGCAGGCACTCCGTGAGCTCCTCGTTCTGCTTCCGCAGCTCCGCGATCTTCCGGGACGCCTCCTGGAGATCAGGCGGCGGGGGCTGCGCGAGGCGGGGAGGCGGGGAGGTGCCCGGACGGGTTGGGGGTTGGGGGGGTTGGGGGGGGGGGTTACGGGGGATTGCGGAGGATTGGGGGGGATGGGGGGGTGGGGGGGGATGGGGATGGAGGGAGGATGGGGATGGAGTGGGAGGGGGAGGAATTCACGGAAAAGGTAATAAACATGCTTAAACGTTTGAACAAGTTGGTGCGACCCTAGCACGAAGCCTAGGCAACAATTGCGATTTTCCCGGGCTCATGCCTGTGGACACTTGTCTATGCTACACCGAACTTTACAAGAGCAGGTCGCCACATGTGCAACCTAAGTCTTCACAGGGTGTCTTTTTCCAGGACCCCCCCCCCCCACCAAAAAAAATACTTTTCTTCTTTGGCTTCTCCTCAAACCACCAACCAGGAAAAAAAGTAGCACCACCTGCAGAAACAAATCGACAAACCCAGCCCCCACCCCCCCACCCCACCCACCCCCCCCCACCACCCCACCCCCACCCCACCCCTCCAGCCCCCCACCCCACCCCACCGGACGCGCGCAGGCTGCGCCTTGAGCCCGGGCCGCTTCTTTAGCTCCACGGCCTCGCTCTTGGCGCCGCGCAGCTCCTCCGCCAACCGCGCCACCTGGCGCCGGTCCGCCTCCATCTCCTGGCCGAGAGGTCAAAACCGTTTTGGGATCCCATGTTGGTTGGTAGGTGCACCACCCATTTTGGGACCTGTTTTAGTGGGGATTGGGTTTTCCGTATTAAACCAATAAAAGTTAGGAACTTTTAGCAGGGGAGCAAAAAGCAACCGAGTCTTGGGGCTGTTTTCGGGGGGGGGGGGGGGGGCAGACACTTTTCCAGGCGGCCGTGGGTCAACACCAATGGTACCATTTCGGTTGGTAGGTGAATTCACCACCCATTTTACTCTAGAACCTATATTAGTGGTTGGATTGAATCGGATGTTCACTGTACAGGATTTTTGACCCACAGCCTGCTGGCTCTGGGCGTAGTACCGCAGCTTCTCCTCGCGCGATTCGCAAGTCAGGTCCAGTCGGGTTGGGTCGGTTTTGGGTCGGTTTTGGGAGCTTGCCCGGTGGCCCACCCAACAAACACCACCCCACCAAACCCACCGCCACTTCCGGTGGCCCACACCCACCACCCCCACCAAACCACCCCCCCCAAACCAAATTCAACAAAAATACAACAAAAAAACGCGAAAAAACCGTCACCAAACCCCCACCCAGCCAAACCAGCTCCTGCATCTCGGCCACCTCCCCCTGGGCCTCTGCACACCTGGCCTCCGCCTTCGCCAACGACTCGGCCTCCTCCGGCGCCGCCAAAGTCGGCCCGGTGATCATCTCCCGCTCCAGCTGCCGCCGCGCCTCCCGGCACCGCTCCTCGGCGAAGAAAACAAAGGCGGCGGCTTTTTTGAGTCCCAAGAACAAGAAAAAGGAGCTCCCCGCACCCTGGCTTGGACAAAAGGGGAAGGGGGGAGGGGGGAAATCCACCACAGGTTTTTTCGGGTTAATTATGAGCCCGGATGAAGACAACGTGCGATTTGAAAGGCCATGGACAGTGGACCGTGTACCGCAAGGAAGCCAAGCAACGCGCTCAGCTTCCAAGGGTTTTCTGTGTCCGAAATGTGGTCTGCTGTCTGCCCTTTTTTGGTAGGGGCCCGCCAAAAACCTGGCGGTCTTCCCAATGGCCCAAGAACTGACGGAAGGAAGTCCAACTCAGGAAGCGAGAGGAGTAGGTCCTTTTAGGGCAAATTCGATGGCCCTGGTAGATGAGTAAACCACAAGCGAAACCAGGCAGGGGAACCCATCGATTTTTTCGACCTAAACTACCAAAAAGGACGGCGGCAATGGCGAATCTTCATCAGGAAGACTATGGGAGCACCATCCGGATCCAGGAACTGGAGAGACGAGGTTGCCAGCAAGCAATCGGGGCACCTTGTGAGTCATCACCTACATGGCAGAGGCCTGGCGCAAGTTTGAGGCGGAAGCTCGACAGATGCGCGAGGCGGAAATGAACGCATATCAATACGGGGAAAAGAAAGACATGGAGTCGAATGCGATGATGACAAATGCGACAAGCTGAGGGAATGATCACAGAGCAGAAACGGGAGATTGCAGTGATGAGATCCTACATGGCAAGCGAGAAGGATTTTTGAGGCCCCCCCCCAAAAAAAAGAAAAGAAAAAGAGGCGGGGCTGGGGACTGGGCGGTCCGTTTTGCGGAAATTCCTGCGAGTGTGCGGTTCGACTTTTCGTGTTTGCGAAATGGAAACCCAACCGATCTAGACCAACAGCCGCCAAGGGGAGAGAGTTCCCGCACGCCACGCATCGTGCAGAAAAAAAGGGGGGAGGCGATGGACAACAAAAACACGAGAAAGGAGCTCCCCGCACCCTGCCCAGAGGCTCCGATTTATCTAGGGCCCTCAAACATCCAGGTTTTGAGACCCCCAAACACCTCGTCCAATGGAGGGTCTGGGTCTTCCATTGAAAGCCGCAGGAGCCTCTGGGTGGACAAAAGGGGGGGGGAACTCCGCCACAGGTTTTTTTTTTTTTTTTTTCCGGGTTAATTATGAGCCCCCGACGAAGACAACGTGCGATTTGCAAGCCAGATGCACCACGGGCCATGGACCGACCGGGGACCGCAAGGAAGCCAAGCAACGAGCTCAGCTTCCGGGGGGCTTCTGTGTCCGAAAGAGGCACAGTTGGTCTGCCTGTTTTGCCGGGGCCCCGCCCAAGACCTGGCGGTCTTCCCAAAAGGTTCCATCATGAACCGTAACTGTTATAGGTGTCCTTTTTGGGGCAAATAGATGGCCCTGGTAGATGAGTAAACCACAAGCGAAAAGTTTCCCTAGTAGATGGGCAAATAGATGGGGTTTCCCTGGTAGATGATTAAACCACCAGGTAAACCAGAGCCATCTATGTTGCTACCAAAACAACCAAAAAGGACACCTATGGCAACTCCGAAATGGGGCATGGGTTTCTTACAATCTGTGCTGTGTCAAAACTCTGACGGCGATGGCGATTCGGAAGAAACCCATTGAAACAGCCCCGGGGCTCGACCACTTAAAACCCCAAGCCTCTTTTGACCACTCAGCTGGACCAAAGTCCCAAGGAATGGTTCCCTCCTTTGAATCTCCCCCCCCCCCCCGGCCGATCCGATCATGAAGGTCCTGCTTGGTGGATGCCCATTCTTTTTCGCCCGCGCTTTGGAAGCGTCAAAGTTTGAGGATTCCCTGGAAAAGACTGGGAGACAACTCAAAGCAGAAGCAACCCAAAAAGCATCAACCCCAAGCATCTTGGGCCCTCACAAGGACCCTTTTTCATGTCCAAAACCTTCCAATGGAGTTGCCTCCTTCAAAGTGTCCTTTCTGATGCTTAGGGACGTTGCCTTCGCTTTGGCCCTGAAGGTTTCCTGGGGGTCAACCAAAAGATGTCACCGTTTCACCCGCTCTATTGGGGAGCAGCCACGCACTCTGCCAAGGCGCCAGCTCCCGGGCGTGCTCCTCCGCACGCTCCTGGCAAACGAAGACGCCCGAAGCATCAGAAAGGACCCTCCATTGAAGCGGCCAGGGACCTCCATTGGCAGGTTTTGGACCTCAAAAAGGCGCCTGTTTGAGGGCCTGCATTGGCAGGCGTTGGACTCCAAAAGGCCTTGAAAAGGCAAAGGGACCTCCATTGGAAGGTTCGGGACCTCAAAAAGGGGGCCCAAGATGCTTGCAGAATGAAAGCGGGGTGTGGACATCAAAAATCCATGGGGCTTCATGTCCAACCACTTCAGAGGCGGCAACTCTTAAAACTCATAGCCAAAAACGGCTTCAGCTCTTGGGCAAGCAAAGGATGACCGAACCCAAATGGGGCCCCGAGGCAGTCCAATTTGTCACACCCATTCAGGTGATTTGGGTTGGTGGTTTAGATTCTAACCCCTGGTTGAGGTCAAGCGGGGTTTCCGAAACACCTAACCGGGCTCTAAAACCCCAACCGGGGGCGTATGGCAACCCATTTCTGAGCGTGAGCTTTTCTCTGTGGAGACCTTTCCAGGACTCGTGACGCTTGGTTATCGATCGGGACCCTTGAAGAAAGGAATCCCCAATGGGACCTTGGGACGCCCCGGACCACAAACAAATGGGGGGGTGGGGTTTGTAATCAGAGGTTGGCATCAGAAAGTGGCCAACTGGATTCCAAGAAACCCCACTCACCTTTTGTGGTGGACATTTACATTGAATTCGGCTGAATGTTGCAAGAAGACCGGCTTTCTAGGGCTTGAGTCTGGAAATCAAACCCGGTACGAAAATGGTTGACCCAGAACCATGTAAGGAAATACAAAGGCCGCCAAACCTCGCTTCTGGCTGGGGTTACCGGTTGTCCCTGACTACTTGGTTGACGTTCAGATTTGGCAGCTAAGCGGGGATTTCAACCACTCAACCACAATAAGCAAAAATGTAAAAAATGTTTCCCAACAACAACCATGACTAACCCATTGTGGCTCACTTGGTCAAATGTGAGTGAGAGCGTCGCCTTTCAGGCAGGACTTGTTGACTAAAAACTGGGGCTCGCCCCCTCCCAAAAAAATGACAGGATCTGGGAGTTTCTCCAAATTGGGGACCAGGTGGGTGGTTTCCTTTTGGCTTCCTTTGAAACCATTCAAGAGGTCCGATTCCTATGTTGAGACAGATTGACCTGACCTTTCACTGCTGACCAAACAGACCTTCCCATCGCCTTCGCCACCTTCGTCTGTCAGGCGGGTGGCTTCCTTTTGGCTTCCTTGAAAAAAAAAAACATACAAAATGGAGTGACCCACCTGACCTTTGACCCGTGTCCAAACCTCCCGTCCAAAAAAAGGCAGGCCGGGCCTTGGTCGTCTGGAGCTCTCGCTCCAAGTCCGTGAGCCGGCGCATGGAGGCGGGGTTCGCCTCGCTCTCGAGGCTGACGCGAGTCGGAAGCCAAACCCAAGGGGCGGCCTCCGTCTTCCTTTAAGGGGGGAACCCTTTTTGGGTGGGTGTTAAAGGTTTTGGGTGGGTGTTAAAGGTTTTGGGTGGGTGTTAAAGGTTTTGGGTGGGTGTTAAAGGTTTTGGGTGGGTGTTAAAGGTTTTGGGTGGGTGTTAAAGGTTTTGGGTGGGTGTTAAAGGTTTTGGGTGGGTGTTAAAGGTTTTGGGTGGGTGTTAAAACCAAGGGGAAGACTGCCGTTTTGAAAGGGTCTCCCCCTCCCCAAAAAAAGAGACACTCGGATGGTGGTTAACAAAATTTGGGCGGGCCGTGTGTTTAGGCTCCCAAGTGAAACCAAAGGGGCCACAAAGGAAACCGATTGGGGGGGGGTCATGAAATCTGGTGATTCAATTTGAGTCCACGACCTGCGACTCGTGAAAACCAAACTGCTGAAACGCGGCACCCGGTCTTTGGCAAAGGTGTGTAGCAATCATTATTTGTTTCCCTTCAAAGGAGGCCACCTGGTTTCGGTTGAAGCTTGTTTAACCAACTGGTGTCCCACAAGACACTCCTTTTGTTGTCCCTTTGAAGGAGGCCAAACTTGCTTGTCAACCAACTGGGTCCCACAAAAAGTGACATCCTCCAAATGTCCCGACGGGTGACCTTCTGATTTCAACGAAAAGCCACAAGGAAACCGATGAACGCCACTTTGGAAAAGGGGGGGTCCGATTCCGTGAAAAAGACACGCCCAGAACACCTCGCCCCAAAAAATGGCTGGTTCGCAGGGAATGAGGAAATGGAATGACCCCTATGAAACACCATCCAACCTATGGTTTTGCCAACCAAAACCGGTTCATTCCCTCATTCCCCACTTTTTGCACCAGCAAGTGTTTCGGAAAGCCTTCTTGGGGTTGGGTTTTCTTGAGAAACCAAAATACAAACGCCAAAATGGGGAATTGTCTGTCATTCCCTAAACCTGGTTTCCTTTGTTCGGGAATCCCACCAAAACCAGTCATTCCCCACCTATCCATCACCCGCCTCCGCAAAACGGCTCGGCCCCGTGCCTCCGCCTCCGCCTTCGCGGCGTTGAGCTCCGAGACCAGCTGCAGCTGACGCCCGTCCACCTCCTCCCGCTGCAGCCTCGACGGGTGAACAGCCGGAGCCGAACCGAAGACCGGTAGGTCCGTAGGTCTTTAAGGGCATCCCCTGTGTTTTTAGTGAGTTTTACAGGGAAACCAAAAGGAAGAACCGCAAAATGTGGTGCGATTATCGATTTTGTTTATGTTGGTTTGTCTTTCTTTGGAGTTGGTACCACGTTGCTGTTGTTGTTGTTGTTCTTTTTTGGGGGAAACCACCATCTTCAGGGACAACCTTAAAAAAAAGAAGACATCCAAATGACCCATTTCAGGAAGTCCACCCCATTTCACCCACCCAAAGGGAACGTTGAGGTAAAGCAGGATCTTTCCACTAACAACCCACTTTAACCTGGCATTTGGCAACCCAATGGGGATTTTGAAAGCAACTCAAAACAAGGTACCATCAAAACAGACCCAACCAACCAACCAACCAACCAACCAACCAACCAACCAACCAACCAACCAAGCAAGCAAGCAAGCAAGCAAGCAAGCAAGCAAGCAAGCAAGCAAGCAAGCAAGCAAGCAAGCCAAACGACACAAAACCACTTCAAACCAAACCAAACCAACCAAGCCAACCAATCCAAAACACACCAAACAATATCAAACCAAACCAAATCAAACCACACCAAACCAAAGCAATTGCCCTCTCAACCAATCCAATCATAGTCAAACGAACAACCAATCGACCAATCAAAAAGGAAAGGCATTCTAAACAATCAATCAAGCAAGCAACAGAACAAAAACAAACCAAGCAAAAACAAAAAACAAAAAACGCTGAACCACTGGGGAAGTTGACGTCTTGGCCAAGGGTTCTGCGTGCTTGCAAAGGTAAGTGGCTATGGTGTGAGTTCAAGGCTCACGAGTCGTGTTGCCTTTCGCCAACTGCGGCACTATGCGCCTCTGGGAAACTGAAGCTTCGTCAGAAAGGGCGTTAGGCATTGGGCAAAACGAGAGAAATCCCCAATCCCCACTAAAATTGGTTCTAAAATGGGTGGTGAATGCACCTACCCCCAAATGGATCCCATTGGCTTTGACAACCACAGCCATTTGGGTGTGGCTCAAAATTTCAGAGCTACGGCTACGCGGGTGTTAGTCTTTGGCTCCATGTGCCAAGGCCATTTTGGTACATCTATTTGAGCCACAGCCAAATTCTGTCAGTGAAACAAAACAAGTTGCTGAAACTTCCGAAAGAGGGGAGGGGGTCCGAGCCAATTTTTGTCGACTCCTTTCCGGCCCTTGCTGAAGTGCACTTCTCGTTTCAAGCCAGCCTTCCCCCCAAACCTTTACCCTTGTCAGATCGTTCAAAGGGAACCCAAACAAACAAAACACAACCTTTAGCTAAACATGTAATGACTTTGGTCCCAAACAAAAAAAATCAAACCAACCCCCAAATCAACCCCCAAATCCCCAAGTCCCATTTCGTCCGAAAGATCGGCCCGGATCCAAAGAGATCCAAAGGGCCTGGCGCCCTGCCGGAGCTGGCGGTTCTGCTGTGCCAGGCTCTCGTTCTCCTGGAAATGTCCGAAGCAATGCCATAACATCGTGTACATATACATATACATATATATATATATACATATATACATATATATATATATACAAATATGGTACCCCCTCCTGGAATACTCAGGTTTTCGTTCAATCATTCACATGCTGGCTGTAAAAATGCATGCAAAATGCACTGTTCAGCTTCTAAAAAGGATGCTCAACAATGCACTCTTTCTTAGACCTAAATTATAGCATCAGTACTTAGTGCAATCCAGGATGTGCTAGCACGTGCTAGCACGTCCTGGATTGAAGATCGAAGATTGAAGATTGAAGATTGAAGATTCTCTCCCAGCTCAATCTTCAATCCAGGATGTATTAACATATCAGTTTGACCTAAGTATGGATTTGAAGATTTCCAGAACAGTGGCCTGAGAATCTTCGATCTTCAATCCAGGATGTGCTGGCACGTGCTCGCACATCTTGGATTGCCCTAAGTACATGTTTGAAGAATCCCAGAAAGTGATGTCAAAGAACCTTCAATCCTCAATCGTCAATCCAGGACGTGAAAACAGATCCTGGATTGCCCAGGCATGGAATCTAAAAAGGCGGACAAGCAGAGCACGTTCCAAGAGTCAAATTGAGGATGTGCACCTCCTGCATTTTGCCAAGAAGGGGAACATGTGTTTTGAAAATCTTACAGCTTTTGCTTGACTCGAGGGGCCAGGATGGACGATTCTCGAAAAAACAAAATCTGGCGATCTCCAATCTTCAATGCAGATGGGAAAACCTCTTAGAGTTTAGGAAAACTGTCAAGCTTTTCTGGGGCCAGGATTGAGGATGTTCTAACACGATGTCTATGAATCTTGAATAGTTGGCCTTCGAGCCAGGGCAACATGATCTGAGCGAGTGCTGAAAACACCGCGGTTTGCAGTATTTGATGCCAATAAGAAGATCGATGTTTGAAAACACTTGTCTGTTACTAGTTTGGCTCAGTTCTTGCTTGGTTAAAACGACATGGAGTTCGACAAGGACAATAACTAACCCATATGAAATGTCTTTGGGATTTAGTTTTAACTGGCTATGACAATAACTGTGTTCTGACTGTTGAAACGCGAAAGAAACTGCAACCGTTCAAAGTTGAGTTTGGCTTGAACTCGACATCATTTACCTGTAATATTATTCCTGTTCTTGAATTTCAAACGTTGTTCTTGACAGTGGTTGAATCGTATTGGACAAGTAACGCACAACTGAGATAGCTGCTTTGTAAATTTGATTTCAATACACTTAGATAGAATGTATATGGAACTGTGTACAAGAAACAACCAACATGTAAATGCAACTGCGCAAGGACATGAAGCACTGTTAGGTTTGATTTGGATGTCAATTGCAAGTAGGATTGAGTTCCTTTCCCCCAAGCGGATGATTTGCCGAGTTTCCTTGTAAAACAAAGATAGTAACACCAAACAGCTGTTACAGGCACGATGAAGCTGCCAAAGCATGCTTCGCGCGCTACTTGTGTGCTGAAAGCTGTGCTTTTTGAACTGGGCAAAGTGCACTTCGCAGACTCCAACGTTACTTTAAGCGCACACCGCGTTCGAGCTGTTTGACTAGGAGCTCCTTTTGAACGTTGAGCTTAACTTCTGCTTGGTTTAACTTTGCGTGGAGCTGCGCGTCCTGTCAGCTCAGTTCAGAGTCCCCCCAGTCTGGCCAAAAACTTGGTGACTGCGCCTGTAGGAGGCCGTGCGCTTTTGTCGTTGTTGCAAAGCAACACGAAGGCTTCATGTATCAAATCACTGTGTTTTACCTCCACTTCGACAGGCTGCAAAACCACTGCAAGGCGCGCTGTTTCATAGGCAACACGGCATCCACGCTTGGTTCTGAACGCAAAATGCACCAATGCTCAGCAGCAAAACTTACACCGCGTGGAACGGCAAAGCGTACCCAGCTTGCTAAACAAGTTGTCTTGATGATATCTACGATGCATGTATGCATGCAAAAACTGCCAGATCAGATCTTCTCTGATGTGCCCCAAGCTGTGCTTGACAACGACAAACTTCATCTTCTTCTTCGAGAAGTGTGTGGCCGCTGCTTCTTCCAAACTCATTGGCCATTCCGCCACGTGTTCTCTTAAGCCCAAGAGCCGCTTGCTGAGAGTCAAAGCTGCTGCTGCTGCTGCTGCTGCTGCTGCTGCTGCTGCTGCTGCTGCTGCTGCTGCTGCTGCTGCTGCTGCTGCTGCTGCTGCTGCTGCTGCTGCGTAGGTGGAAAGGCAGACAACACTTTTCACACACTGCATCCACATGGATTTCGAAAGTGGTAGGAAAGTAGGAAGTGCGTCCCAATCAAGCCAGCCACGCTCCCCACACTGCGTCACAAATGTGAGGATGCACCACCCCGCAGCCCTCGCAGAAACTCGTGGAACCCTGGTGGAACCCTGGTGGAACCTTGGTGGAACCCTCGTGGAACCTTACCTCAGGGCCGCCCCGGAGCACCACGGAGTATCTGGGCTGAGACCCCAAAGCTTTCAGCTGTTGGGGGGAAAAAACGCGGTGTTTCACATATTAGCTGTATGTCATTTCCAAAAAAGCACAAACACTGGCATTTCTTGCATTTCTCCCGACTCCCCACCAAAAGCATTTCTGGCTCCAATGTTGGTCCAGCGGGAATCTCGCGCAACCATTCCCCCACATGTTGAAAATATAAGCTCAGGTGATATCCCCAACAGCATGTGAACCCTGGTCCTACTGGAACCCTGGCGGAATGCTGGTGGAACCCTGGTGCAACCCTGGTGGAACCTTACCTCAGGGCCGCCCCGGACCACCCCGGAGCCTATCTGGGCTGAGACCCCAAAGCTTTCAGCTGTTGGGGAAAAACAAAAACACCAAAACACAAACATGCCAGCCATGCTGAGGGTCAGTCTTGCTTTGTTGTTTTGTTTGTGTTGTTGTTTGCTTCAGTGGAAAAATGTTGCGGCGCAACATGTCCCGAATGTTGCAGCGCAACATGTCTCAAACGTTGCGCAACATTCGGCAATGGACCAAAAAAAACATTCCAGCCATGGTGGAGGGTAGGATTGTTGTTTGGTTTGTTGTTTGTGGGAATTTGGGCATCATTGCAAAATGTTGCGCAACATGTGAAAGCCTCGGAAATGTTGCGCAACATGTGCGGCTGTTCCAAAACCTTCTACTTTTGGGGTGGCCTTGACTCAAGGTTCCCAAGAAATTTGTTTGGATCTTGGATCCAACCAAAGAAACTGTCAAGTCTGCCAGAAGCTTGTGTTTCATGTTCGACCTAGCGGTTGTCCAGTTTTACCCCTCATGTTCGACAGGAAAAATGACACGCTGCCTAGTTTGACTTTTTTTGAGGGGAGGATTGATGAACTGACAAATGCTGCAAAATGCCGCATCGTACCGCATGTTTTGCCAAGGAACAGGTCCACGTTCCTGATGTTGACTTGGCTCAGTTTGTGCTTACCTTTTAAAGTTTAAGTTGATTTCAATTTTGACTAGCAATGTCAATACAATAGTTGTTCTCTCCAGGTTGTTGTTGTTCCTTTTTTTCGAAGACTATAAGGAAATATAATCGGTTGAAGGTGAATTCGGCTTGAACTTGAAACAGCATTTTAAATTGGACCTTGTCATGGTTGACGTGCAATAGATGTGATTGACATCTGTGAATTCGAGATCGATAAACAACACATAAAGTAAACAACACATAAGGTTGATAGAGTTGCTTTCCGGTTGTTCAGTTCATAGAGTTGAGTTAGAACACAATTGGAATCGTGTAAGTAAAATTGAATTAGACTGCCAAGGACATGGAGCACATTGGCCATTGACTTGGATTCAATTTCAAAGCAATTTAGATACGAATGAACTGCTTTCCCAAAAAATCAAAGGTTTGCCGATTTCCCGTGCAAAACGATAAGACTGAAACAAGATGAAAGAGCTGATCGAGCCACGGTGAAGCTGCTGAAGTGCACTTTGCGTACTACTCTTCATGTAAACACACATGTTTACCTAGTTGATGTTTCTATGTTGCTTTGTCTGTGGATTTAACTTGTGTATTTACTGTTCACTCATGTATTCAAAGTTATTGAGTTATTCATTTATGTATTTATCTATTTATTCGTCTATTTCTGTAGTTACTTATTTATGTGTGTATTTATGTATGTATTTATTGATTTATTCGTCTATTTCTGTAGTTACTTATTTATTTGTGTATTTATGTCTTTAGTTATGCATTTAGTTCTGTATTTATCTATTTGTTCATCTGGTTTTACTTATTTATTTATGTGTTCATTTGTGTTGTTGATGTATTTGATTTATTGTACGGAATGTAACTTCATTCAATATGTGTTATTCAGTTGTCTACTCATTTATTTGTTGATTTGAATCATGGAGTTGTGATAACTAAGTTCCTATCTAATTGATTGACTAATCTATTCATGTATCTATTTGTGCATGTATTTATTTCTGTATGGGGTTCTTTGTTTATCTATTTACTTACTCATTGATTTATTCATCTATCTGATTGGTTTCTTATTTTAAATTAAGCAACTTAGTGAGTTGACTGTATATGTATGTAGTTTGTCTCATTTGTATGACTGTTAAACTGCTTGTGTCGTATATGTATGTAGCACCTTCAAAGTCATCATGTCACAATGCCCAACATAAAAAGGCGAGCGAAAGGAAGCCATTGCGATATCGGGTCCAAGAGCTTCCCACTTCTAATTCTTCACGAGGGGAAGGTTCAGGGTCTCGTGGGCAACATTGGAGACCGACGCCAAAATGGAGCGGAAAATCCGAATCACTCCAGCAGCCATGGACCCAATTAAACAATTATGAATAGTTTGTTTGTTTGTTTGTCAAACTTGAGTCAATTCGATTGGCCCCTCCAGCACCCCATAAGAAAGGGAATCAGCAATTCTGTTAGGGCAATATCCCATGTGTTTTTCTTTTCTTTTTTCGGGTTTGAGGGTCCAGAATATTTCTCCACCAACATCTGACACAGGGGCCCGTGCAAAGGAAAATCATTTTCCAGGACCCCTCCATAGCGTTCCATGTTGGCAGACCCGAGAGTAGATACTCGGACCCTCCAAAATGGCTTCGGAGTCCCTTTTGGCTGTCCCTTCAAAGCCGTTCCTTTGGGTGTCCCTGTAAAACCATGAAAAACGGGGGTACCGAGCGTCAACAATTGGAACCACATAGCTGGGCTGTCCTCAGATCCCCTGCTAAAGGTTTAACTTTTTGGGGGTTGAATGGACACCCAACCACTTAACCTAGCGTATAAAAACCTTTAGAAAAGGCCAAAGGAACAGGACGGCTCACCGCCAAGGAAAATGTCACTTGCCACCTTGCTATAGGCTTTACTCTAACCCTTGATGAGAAAAAAAAGGAGAACCAGCTAGAATGACCAATGAAGGTTTTTAGGAGATGCCCGCTAGATTGGACGTCGCTGATCCATGTTTTGCGGGCTTGAGGGTCCAGAACATTTCTCCACCAACATGGGGCAATGGCAGCCACACCCGTATACTTTGGATGGACGAAATCCTGCGCCACTTTGGAACCATGGTTGAAAACCCTTGGTATCACAAACCAGGGTTTCTGAGTTCGGTGGAGTGTTTTATGGATTCGCAACCATCCACAGAAGGACGCCGCAAATAGAGAGGGTTGGGCGTCTCCACCAACAGGATGCAACCACCCAAAACCGGGACAACCGAGCCTTAAAAGCTCGCGGGTCAGTAAAGAATGTGGCTGAATGAACCGTTTTGGGCTTCCCTTAACGGAAACCTGCAGTTGGATGGCTTGTAAGGATCATTCCATGTCCCATTCCCTGCCTATCGCACCGATCGCCAGTTTCTGGGGAACGCTTGGGCTAGACTCCATTTCTCAGGTGGCGCGGCGCGATCGGCGCCGTCCGTCCTTCTCGCAGGCCCGCAGCATCTTCTCGGCCATCTCCAGGTCCGCCTCCAGCGCCGCGGCCCGGTCCAGGGGGCCCTCCTGGAGCGAAAAACCCCCCAGTTTGCGGTTCACCAAATGGGAAACCCCGAGAAGAAAAAAAAACAAAAACGTGCCTTCAAAAGGGGCGGGGTTTTTTTGGGGGCCACCCCCATTTTGGAGGGGTTTTGGTGGTTTGGAGCGGTTTCGGGGATTGGACCCCTGGCTTCTGTAGAGTGTGAAACCTATTTCACCCGCCCAATTTCAGGATATCTAAAAGGGTGTTCTGCAGGGCCTTTCCATCAACCTATAAGAACGGGTGTGGGAACCATCAAACTTTCCGACCCTCCATGTTTTGCAGCCCAACTCCTTTCTTGCAAACAAGCTCTGAGGGTGGAAACGGCTGCAAGGAAGCTGCCAGGCATTGAATCCATTGTGGCATTCGGTCAGTCAGCCAGATTTTTTCAGGAACGGGCTCTCAGATAGGTCTGTCTTGTTTGCCAGTGGACCCCTCCAAAATGGTGGTTCCCCCGGCGTCTTCCTCTGAGAACCAACCGAAAATGGTTTCGCTGGGGGAAAAAGAAAGCAGGCCGAAAGAATGAATTGCAGGGTTCTAAGGGTCGCTTCCCCCTTCTTTTTAGAAACGACCCATTTTACCTCGGTTTTTTGCCAATTGGTTGAAAAGAAGGATCCCTCGAGAGAATGGAAATGTAAGCTACCGGTTTGGGGTAGGACGTGATGCGCTCGACCCCGGAAGCCTTGCAGACTTTGTGGGAGTGCTTCCCCCGTCCAAGGGAAGGATTGCCGTTCAAGTGGGCCTTGGTGGCTCTCTATATGGATAAGTTTCTTTCTAGAGGACCCCAAACAAGATGGCGCTTTTCCTATTGGTTTCCCTGTCAAACCGCAAAACAAGAAGTACCTCGAAAAAGAAAAAAACACAGCACACTCATACGGGATTCTCATTGGCTACGGAAGGCTTGGGCATAGGCCCGTGACCAGGTGGTTAAACGGTTAGCTTTCTCCTTGCAGCAATACTTCCATTTGCTTAAGCCCCTGGAAACAAAAAAACTATTCCCAATGGTGATTTAAAAACCAACAGGGCAAAATGTTCAATAAGTCTTAAGCAAATGGAAGAATATGGTGTTGAATAACCCAACTATTTCCTACTCTTGGAGCCGCTAAAGTGGAGTGCCCAAGACCATGCAAAGAATGAAGAGGGCGGCCGCGCCTATTTCTGGCTGGGATTTCTCCCCACTCTCCCACCCACTAACATGGAAGTGCACAAAGCCCCGAAACCCAAGAGGAAAGTCGTCTTTCTACGGGAGTCTACAAGTTGGTGGGAGGGTTCAACTTCAACTTCCCGGATGCCTCGTTTGACCGGTTTTCCCCAATTCAACCACACACTCCGAGACCAAAACCCCCCTCTCCCCCCGTCCTCTGTCCGCCTTGAGGCTCGGTTTCGCGCGTCGGGGGGCCCGGCGGCGCTCAGCGCGATGTGCAGGTCCTCCTTCAGCGTGTCCCGCTCCTCGCGCAGACCTGCCAGCTCCTCGGGATCCCGTTGGTGAGGGTGGGGGTGGGGGTGGGGTTGTGGGGGGGTTGTGGGGGGGTTGGGGGGGGGGGGGTGTGGGGGTGGGGGTGGTCCCCAGGTTGCAGACTTGTGGTTCCTTGCCTCTGGGGTCCCTTTTGTGGGGTTAAAGGAAGCCGCTGCGACGAAGTCGTCCAGGCCCCAGAGCCTCTCCCAAAGGCTCAGGATGCAGCTGGAAAGCCCGCAGCCTTGGGCAAGCCACATCCCCACGTCCCAACGTCAACGGACCAGCCTCACTTCTGGCTCCTTTTCTCTGAGGGGGGTCCCTTTTTGCGGGGTCACTCAAGGGAAACCACAAGGAAGCCGGCTGACAGTTGAGGTTCCCCCATGTTCATGGCTTCTTGTTCAGAATCACGCGCCCTGTACAAGTGACGTCGACACCAGATTAAGCAACCTGGCCGAGTAATAGGAGGCTGCCACTAAACTCAAGGTTTCCCTCTGATGCCCGCCTGCTGATGGGCAAAATCCACTTCGCACCGCTGTGCAGGTGGTTTATCTCAGTATTCATAAGTGTTCATCCGTCCCAACTCATTCGAAGCGGATTTTGGCCATCCACAGCACGGGACCTCTGCGTTTGTTCCTTTGGTTTCACATAAAACAAAAAGTGGTTTCCTCGGCAAAGGACGCCAAAAGTATTTGGGTGCGTCTTTTTTGGAGTTGGTACCCCTGTTTGCTAGGTGTTAAAGGAAACCAACAGGATTTCCAAACCTGTCTTGGGGGCGTCCCTAAAACAGGCGCGCTCAGGTTGAAAAACTCAAGAACATGCTAAGAAACAACAAATATGTTGAGAAACCCACAACATGTGTGCAGAAACAAGCACATATGTTGAGAAAGCGGAAAAAAGTGCTGGGAAACCAAAAACTACGTTAAAGAAACCAACATACTATGTTGACAAACCCACAGAAAACCATGTTGAGACGCCCCAAAAAAACAACTAGAAAATGGCCACGCCGTCCTTCCCTTTTTGAGTCTCCTGGTCGAGCACGGCCACTCGCTGGGCTAGCGCCGCCTGCTTGCCTGGAGAAAAGATTTGCCCTGGTTGAATGGGAAACCAAAAGGACGACACGTCAATGGAGGGTGCTCCCAAAACATCGTAAGACACAGTGCTTTGCGCCATTTCTCGTTTTCGAAATCACATCACCGCCAACACCCGCTCTCCATTCTTTTCTTCGGGGATACCCGCTCTCCCCCCTGTTTCAAGACTTCCCACCCCCTTTGGGCTGTGTTTTGAGACACGCCCACCTCAAAGCAGACAGAAATATGAGCTCTTAAGCCATAGGGCTTGGAAAGCCCTGCATTTAGCGTAGTTGTACTCCTTTGGGGGCATCATTTCAGCGCGTTTGGACATCAGGGTATGAATCCGTGTATGATTCCATCTTGTCATATCAAAACACATTGCTGGTTCCGCTTCAAAACACGCCCGTCTGCACAAGCACTTCGAGTCGATGAGAGAACCCAGGGCTCCTTCAGGCATCACCCAGCAAGGAAACGTTCAAAAACCACGGGGAAACATATCGCGTGGGCCCCTTTTGTTGAGACCCGGCCCCTTTTTTGTACGGCTTTAACGGGAAATCCGAAGGAAACCCCCAAAAAAAGAGAAAATGTGTGGGCTTCAAATCCAAAAAAAAGGACGCGCGCGCGCACACACACACCTGGTGCGGCCCAAAGGCAACCCGGATGACACCGGACCCCTAGCTGGGTTTAGTCTCCTTGAGATACAGCTCAGTACCAGCCACTCGACTTGAAGCCCCCATTTGGGCGTCTCTTTTGGGGAGAGAGCCCCTCTTTAAGTTTGCCTTTATAGCCAACATTTAGTTTGGCGGTCCAAATCCTGAAGAAAAAAAAAAAAACAGCACACCCATTTGGGGCTTGCCAAACAAATGCAGGCCCTTTGGATCCTGGCGCCTTGTCAAGTCTTTCATGACGGCCACTTTGTCAACTCGCCCAACCGCTCCCCGGCCACACGCGGAGAGAAATTTCCAGTCCAGCGGCTTGTGGCATCCGCGAGCTGCTCGGCGGCGGCCGACATCTGCTCCTGCGATTTCGAGGCTAGGCTTTGAGAGGTGTGGTACCTGCCAATGGCTTTGATCCACTTGCGATCGGTGCGATAGCTATCGAATGAGTTGGAATGAACCCAGGCTTTGGTCCCCAAAAAGGAAACCACCAGCTGGATCGTTTATAAGGGTCATTCCCTCATTGCCTTCTGACAAGCGGAGTGACTTATGGCCACGGTCATCTTAGTGCTGCCGTAGGAGAGCTGAGTCATTGCAAAGAAAGCCCTTGGAATTCACCCGAGTTTTGATGTTTTTGCAGACTTGGCGACTCAACTGTACCACTCGCTTTGCTTGTCAGCGCCATGATCTGGATCCAACATTAAAAAAAGGATCCCGTCACATTGCCAAAATGGGGTCAAACTTTTATGGTGGCGTTCCACTTGATGTCCCTCTAAACCAATATTATATATATAAGGAACTAGCTCTCGGGAGACCCGGCCAAAACAATGCTGCAAAGGCGGTAGCTCCAAAAAGCATCGCTCGACGGAGTATCATCGGGGCCCAACCCCGAAATGAGTGGTTCTCCCTAATTGGAAGCGGTCCCGAAGAGTCTCCCCCGCGTCCTTCTGGCTTCCCATGGAACAGTTGCCAAGCAAAAGTGGGAGGGGGAGCTTGGGGGGGTGGCTTTCGCCTTTTAAGAAACTCTTAAACTTTCCAGTTCCATTGCTTGGTTCTTTAAGCATCAAGCTTTAGAGCTTCCTTCGGGAGGTTTGTTTGCAGCTTTCCCTTGGTGTAAGAACAAGAAGACCCTTCTTAACTTCAACTTTCTTCTACGACTGCTTTACCCATTGATAAACCTGTGGGGAGCACAGTCCCTGGGTGACTCTTTCTACTCACACCCATGGTCTGGCTCGGAGAAACCCTCATTGATGTCAACCAAACGGAAAAGCGGTGCGCCAGTTTTTTTGTTGCCTTCTTTTTCTTCCGTTTTGTTGTTCTTTTGTCTTTTTTGTTCTTGCTTTTTTGCATTTTGTTCCGCGGGGGGGGGGGGGGGGGGGGGATTCCCCCCCCAACCAACAACGAAAAAAGCCGCGGCGAGCGGCGACCAACCCCCACGGCCGCCGTCCTGCATCTGCACCTCGAGGCTCTGGAGCTGCTGAGACTCCCCGCCCCGCAAGCTCCGCAGGTCCCTCAACTGCGCGCTCTGCCGCGCGGACGCGTCCTCCGGTCGGGCGCCGCGCGCGGAAGTGGAGCTGGGAGCGCCACGAGGGGGGGGGAATATGGAAAACAAATATAGAACAAAAGCCCGCCACACAAAACCATGTTCAGCAAACTGGATCCCCCCCATTTAAAAAGAAAGCAAAAACAAAAACAAAGCAAACAATGAAAAAAAAAAGAAACAAAAAGAGAAGGAGAAAAAAAAGACAAACAAAAGAATGACAAAAAACAACAAGCCACGAAGAAAAAAAAGAAAGGCCACACGCCCAAAACGCCCAACACGCCCCGCCACCTGGAGCTTCTTGTTCTCGATCTGGAGCCGCATGATCTGCTCCTCTAGGCCCACGGCCTCCGACTCCGCCTTGGCCTTCAGATGGCACAGCTCCGTGTTGAACTCCTCGCAGCCCGCGGCGAAAATTCGCGGGCGGGAAAAAAAAAACGCGGGCGGAAAAAAACGCGGGGGCGTCTTTTGTTTTTTGCGCTTGTTTGTTGGAACAGTGGTGTTGGGTGTGTTTTGCGCCGAAGTGCCCAAAATGGGAGGACTGGAAGGCGAAAATGAGCTCATCCTTTTTTTGGGGAGGGGAGGGTTCCCCTATTAAATTTGACTACAGAAAAAAGTTGGTACCAGCTTATTCTAACCTCTCTACTTGACGACCTAGACCCCATTTTCCCCGCTGTTCCATCCAAAGCCCAAGCCTTCTGTTGGCCAAGATTAACTTGGCCAACTCGCAGAATTCCAGTAAAACTAGGTGAAACCGTGTTCACGGTCTTCACGGTTTCCCGGGCTGGTCAAAAGTAAATGAAAGCTGATATACCCTTCTCTTTTGGCATTTTGGGGGATCCATTCTTGAGACATACCCATGTACTAAAAAGAAAAACAGCTAATAAAAAAGAAAAACATGAAAGAGAAAGAACATACCCATGGAAAAAACTGCAGGCAGAGAAAAGAGTCGAGCCACCTATGTTAACCTGCGGAGAAAAGCAGAAAAAGAAGGAAAAGCAAGAGTGCGTCCTCCAGCAGCACCAGCTTCTTCTTGAAGCCCTGGATCTCCGCTTGGCAGCTCTCGAGCTGCAACCGGTCCACCCGCTGGCCCAAATCCACGTCCGATTTCAGCTCCTGCGGTCCGAGGGTTATACAGCTTCTGTGGCTTTAATGGTGGGTTTTCAACACCCACCATTAAGGTACATGCCCCCCAGCATTGGGTGGTGCAAGGGTCAGGAGCCGTCTTCCTGATGAGAGCGGTTTTTGCCGTGGGCAACCATGGATGTTTCTTGCTTTATTTTTTTTGTTGGGCGTCAGTTTGGATGGCAGCAGATCGAATTCCACGAGTTTCAGCTTGATTCAAATCCTCGATTCAAAGCGGATTTGTGCACCGCGGCGAGTTTCGAGGTCTACATCCACCTGGCCGAGACCGGGGTGAGCAAAGAGGTGCAGGCCATGGGGGCTCGCGAGCCGTGCGTGGAAAGGTATCTCGGGCCAGGAGAGGCCCGGTTGCCCAAAGCCATCGGCCGGATCTGACCCCAGCAAGTGGCCCAAAGGAGGTCCGTTTTAAACGCGAGCGGCCTGTTCTTTTTGCATAGGAGGTTAGAAATTTCAAGGGTTCCGCTAAACATGGCGGGGTTTAAGGGTTCCGCTGAAGAAAACAGAAACGGTGGGTGTTTGGGTTCCATGTTAAAGTGTGGGCGAGGATCTAGGAGATAGGGGTACCTGGATGTTGGATTCACAAAGTTAAGTGGCTCGCCAACCCACGGAGGACAGGGGTTAGGTTGCCAACAACTTATTGACTTGGCCGAACATGGAGTTATATGGGTGTGGCAATCAAAATGAAACGATCGGAGGGGCAAACCGCAGGTGTTGGTACCCATGTTTCCACTTATCAGGGCAACCCATTTTGGAATTCCTGTTTTTTGAGCCACAGCCATATAGCTGTTGGCTTTACGATAACCCCCCCCGGGTGAAAAAGAATCACCTACTAAATTGTTGAATAGGGGGGGGGGGGTTATGCGCTGCTCAGGTGGAGGGGTCCGACCTTGTTTTAGGTCCAACTCCCATTTTGATAATCCGACCGAAAATAAGGGACTCCAGAGACAAGGGCCGTCACTTTGGGTGGTGTCGCAACCCATCTAGTGGCGTCGAGGTTGTCTAAGCAAGCCAGACGGAAACCAACCTCCTATGAGACAACCCATGTTAGCTAGCTTCTCTTCCTAGCGCCTACCCCAGTATTTCTTCAAACAAAACTCGCGGATCTGTCCAAATCAGCGGCCCCCCCCAAAAAAAATGGACTCCGGTTTCCGGATTCTTCGCCCCGACGAACATCACACTTCTCTCCTCAGGGCGCAAGGTGTCCGTGGGCTGCGGGGCAGACGCCCGGGACGCCTCGCTGCGGACGGAGCCCATGAGAAGCGTCGTGTTGGCATCGCGGGATCGCTCCAGCTGCTTCCTCGCCTGGGCGCGCCAATAGGCCGTCATCTCCTCCTGGCTGAGAAAAAAAAGACGAAAACCCCAAGCCCGGCTCCAAATCCAAGCGCCACGGAAATCCAAAGTCTGGCAACAACTTCAAAGCGGATCTGGATTTGGATTGGGGAAGGAGCGGAAAGGGATTCCAGGATTGGGATTTTCCAAACGGAAACGGTTCAAGGGCGCCCGGATCCAAGGCAGGACGTCACCCCCCCCCCCCCTGCCTGCTCCGCGGAGTCGGTGGATCGCAGCACCAGGAGCTTGCCATCGTCGCAGGGCAGGCGCCAGCGATCGAAGGCGGACACTGCGGGGCTGGGGCTGAAGGCTCCGAGCGGCGCTTGGGCGCTGCAGGCGCGGGACGGGTCGGTCATCCCGGTGGCATCGGGGGAAGGCGCGCGGGAGGCGGATGGAGGTGGCGGCGGAGATGGACTGGGCCCATGGGGCGCAGATGGGGGAGAGAACGAGGGCAAGGAGGCTTGCGACTTTGGATCAGGGAGGCCCCTTGCTGGAAGCGGAAGCCGCGGTTGGCTCTGTGGCGGTGGTGGCTGTGATGGGAAGCCCTGAGATGCCGAGGCCTGAGAGGCCTGAGACATTGGTGAGGCCCAGTTCGGGGCCGACCCTGCCACCGGTGAGGCCGTCGGAAAACTTGGCGGGGCCGCCGTGTGGGGCGGCGCCGGGGACGCCGGCGACGGCGCCGGAGATGCCGGCGACGCCGCCCGCACGGCGCGCGAGCCCTGCGTGCCCGGCGTGCCCGGGCTGCCCGGGGCGCTTGGCGCACTCGGCGCGCTCGGCGCGCTCGGCACGCGCTGAACCACTGGCGACGGGGAGGGCGTCCGCACCGTCCGCACTGAAGGCGAAGGTGACGCAGCTGGGCTGGGCCGAGCCTCCCGCAAACGTCGGAGCTCCTGACAGTGGAATTTAACAGCCCACTAAAAATGAACAGAACCTCTCCTTTCCTGCCAGTTTCTTTTGGTGGCCTTTTTAGAGGTGGCAGTGGCCGTCAATGGCCCTTCAATGGTCAATGCACCCACTCCTTCATGGGGGAGGGAGAGCCCCAAGTAAGGCCTTATTACGGGCATCCAAAAACCTGAGCACATCCGACGTAAAAACCAGGCGGACCCTCTCCTGCTCCCTCTGAGCTTCCGCTTCCTTGAATCTTGGATCCGCCTCCGCCCTGGCACGTCCAATTGCCTCCTGTCTTGTCTCTCGGTCTCTCGGTCTCTCATTCTCTCAGTCTCTCAGTCTCTCAGTCTCTCATAATGTCTCGTTGTCTTCCGTTGTCATTCTTTCTCTCTCTCTCTCTCTCTCTTTCTCTCCCATTCTCTCTCATTATCTCTCATTATTTAGCATTCTTGCTCATTCTCTCTCTCTCTCTCACTCACTCACTGTCGCTCCCTCTCCCTCCTTTAGGCTTCTCTCCAAATCCGGGAACCCACCTATGAACGTCCAGGCGCTTTCCCTAAGCCAAGCCCCACGTGGACCTGCCTTTTGTTTTTAGAACTAGTGGGTTGGTTTCAAGAGCTTCCCCAGCCATCCGCCCGCCTGCGCCGCTCCTGGCGAGGCAAGAGGCGCTCCGCATGGACACCCCCCGCCTTGGGCGGAGGCCTTGTAGCCACAAAGATGCGTCATTCCGACCCCAGAAAAGGGTGCCCACAAAAAGAGACGCCCGAGCATAGGTGTCCTTTTAGGGCAAATCGATGGCTGTGGTAGATGATTAAACCACCAGGTAAACCAGGGGAACCCATCTATGTTTCGACCAAAACAACCAAAAAGGACACCTATGCACCCTAGAATAGGTTGATTCCAACCTTTTCTACGTTCTTGTCAAGAATGGATCGCTGTTTCCCCTGGGCTGTTGATGGTTTCTGGAAAGAATGGGAGGTCTTCGCGAATTTGGGAGTGGTGGGCTCCAAATGGGACGGGGTGTGTTTTGAGGTCACCTCAAGATGGGGTTAGTTTAAATGGAAGCCAAGAGGTCTCCACATGCTTTTTGAGGGTCCTTTTCACCTTGGCTTAAGAGGAAACCAAGAAGGAGAAGACCGCCATTCTGGGGGGTCCCCGTACTTCGACACATACACGTTTGAGGGAGCTGGCGAAACACATAGGCTTCCTGGAAGAATTCCATTCATCTTTGAATGAAAATGCACTCTCCCGGCGTGTCCTAAAAGTACACATGTGGAAGCCCCATGCACAAAGACCCAGAGACACAGAGACGCACAGACACAAACACACACGGAGAGCAACACAATGATTCGCCGAAAGGAAGTCCTCACCAGCAGCTTCCTCTCTAGCTTGCTCTTCTCGGTGAGCAGCCTCAGCCTCGTCTTCTCGTTTCTTTGCTTCCGCGTCTCTCGCGCGTTTTGCGCCTTCCTCCTTCCACATCTTCTCAAATTCCTCCTGTTCAGGGTTCAGGGCTGTGGAGAGTGACCCAGTGACCACTTCTGTGATACAACAAAAGGACCTCCAAAGACTAACCCCCCCCTCTTTAAAGAGCGCATTCCCCTGTATCACGGAAGTGGTTGGATAAACCTCTTGATCCCACAACCCTGCTCCTGTTCCTTTTCCCATTCCGCATCTTCTCCCTCCTCCTGTCCTTCCTCTTTCGCTGTGTCGGATTTCTCACCCCCTACCGGAACTTGTGGCCTCCGCTCCTCTTCCCTAGGTATGGCCTCCTCGTCCCTTTTTATGGCCTCCTCTTCCTTCCTCTTGAGCTCCTCCTCTTCCTTCCTCTTAAGCTCCTCCTCTTCCTTCTTGCGCTCCTCCTCTTCCTGCTTCTTACGTTCCTCCTCTTGCTTCTTCTTAAGCTCCTCCTCTGCCTTCTTCTTGCGCTCCTCCTCTTCCTTCCTCTTAAGCTCCTCCTCTTCCTTCTTCTTGCGCTCCTCCTCTTGCTTCTTCTTAAGCTCCTCCTCTTCCTTCTTCTTGCGCTCCTCCTCTTGTTTCTTCTTAAGCTCCTCCTCCTTCTTCTTTAGCGCTTCCTCTTCCTTCCTTTTTTGGTCTTCCTCTTCCTTTCTCTTCCTCTCCTCCTCTTCTTGCTTCTTCCTTTCCTTCTCCTCCTCTTGCCGTTTCAGCTCCTCCGCAGACTCCTTCAGCTGCTGCTCCATCTCTGCCTTCAACATGGGAAAAAGCCACCGAAGGCTGTGATACCAAAGTGGGACTCTCATCCCCACCACTTTAATGGGCTTGCAGGGCTTTCCCTTATCCCAAAAATGGCCGGCTCCGTTTGCTTACGTCTCCTACAGCGATGCCATTTAAAACCACCAGGGGAAGAGGAAAAAAAAAACTGACAGAGTCCCTTCAAAACCACCAGGGGACGATAAATAAAGCAAACCCATTTTACCTAAGGCGTTTTCTACCGCGGCCTTGAAACTCGCGAACACGGAGTTCAGCCCCGCGTCCGCGCTCGCGCTCTGCCCCGCCGCCGAGCTCTCGGACTCCGAGAGAGCGGACTCCGAGCGCGTCGGGGAGGCCTTGGCCGACTTCGCCGGCTCGGACTTGGCCGTCGCCTTCCTTGGTCCGCTGGGGCCAGGAGACATGGCCTTTTGTGGTCATTTGACCGTTTTGGGACCTTTGGGATCGACCATTTTGTGGGATTGGTGAATTCACCACCCATTTTCGGCTTCCTATTTGGGGATGTTCACTGGGGGGACGAAATTTTGACCCATGGCCACATGAGACATAATCAAAACCCGGTATTAAAATGGTCGCAATCCCAGAGCCATGCTTCAAGAATTAAGAAGGCGGATATCCGCGGCTATATATGGTTGGGATTGTCCCTTACTAAGCTTCATCTACCCGGGTTTTGATTGTGGCTCACATGGAGTCTGACCAAACGAGAAAAGCCGACGCATTCGGCTTCCTTTGTTCGGGAATCCCCAGAACCGGTTTCATTCCCTGCTGAGCACCTGCAAGACAGTGTCAAACCTTTGTAGGGGCAAACTTCATTCCCTTCCCAAGAAGTCTGTACATCATGCCCCGCAAAACCCTCTTGGGGTCCGGAAAATCCTCATGTCCTGGACAAAAGTTGAGAAAGGCTAGGTCCAAGCTTCCTCGCTGGCGCGGAACTGCGCACCGTCGCGGACGGGGAAGAGGAGGGTTCGCCCTGTTGCCCGCGCCCGCGCAAGCCCGGGCTGTGACTCTTCGAGACCTTGGGGGTAGGCCGATCCAAATCGATGTCCGCGTAGGGGTCTGCCCGCAGACCATAGCGTCCCAGGCCATAGCTGGCGTAGCCTACCGGAATGGCTTTCCGGTTCCCTGCTTTCCCGAGAAATCAAACCCAGGAACCTCACCCCATCCCACCAAAGTAGCTCCAAGGGCTAAGTGGGGCCTTGCCAGCTGGCTAAACCACGTGTTTTGAAGGTTTAGGAGCTTGGAGGACCCGAAAGAAAGACCGCCCCCGCCTCCCTCGCCGCCGCGGTAGGAGGGGCTGCCGCCCCGCGCCGGGCGGGTGGTCTTTTCCAGCTGCTCATCTTCTTCGTCCCCGGAGGCGTTGAGGAAGTCATCGAAGTCGTCCTTCATGACCCATGGCCTCGACCTTCTCTTTGCCGAGTCCGAGGCGAAGGAGAGCCGAGTGGGCCGTCGAAACCCAAAGAAGCCAAAGAAAGCACTGTCACCCGGCCGATGCGCACGGCTTTGATCCGTTTCTTGAGTCACCTGCAAGGAATCTTTGATCTCTTGGGCGTTTCACATGTAGCTGTGGCTCAAAAAACTGGAATTCCAACACGGCTTGCCCGATCGGTAAGTGGAAACATGGGTACCAAAACCTGCGGTTTGCCCCTCCGATCGTTTAATTTTGATTGCCACACCCATGTAGAGGTGCTGTCGCCTTCTTGGGAGGATACCTGACGGCTACGGTGCCGAGCAACTGGGCTGTCCGGCTTCACACGCCCTGCGAAAAGCTTTGAACTGGTGGGTGAAATGGACATCCAACCACTAAACACTAACAGGCTTAAAAGGCTCAAAAGCTAAGGAACCGGATGGCTTGGAGCCACCAAGTAAAACAGAAACTGGATGCAGGCTGCATGCCTCCAAAAAATTGCTTTTGGTCCGGCGTGCTTCTTGCATCTGGACACAGGTGGCCACTCTCTCCACAGACCTCCGGTGATCTCTCAGAAATCGAAATTTCGGGTGTCACCGGATCTGCGCGAACCGAACTAAACTGCTCTCAGAAGCCAAAGGTGGACCCCTCCTGCTCCAGTTGCTTTGTCTCCTAAGCGCGGCACAGTCAAAACGACCTATCATGACCTACCCCCCAAATCTGAACAAAATGAATCCGTCCCAAAATGTTTCGGCGAAAATGGTTCGTGAGCTCCCGTACCACCCGAGCCCCAAATGGACCACTCGGACTACTGGTCGGACCACACCACACCCCACGGCACGGACTCGGTCCTTGACTGCCTTAAGGATTAGATCCGCGTTGGTTTCCAAGACCATGCCCGCCATGACGATCTCATCCAGGATGTAATTCACCTGCAGACCGCGTCTCGGGCCGATTTTCGTTGGTCCTCATTTGCGTCTATATATAGGGCATCACCTGTGGTCATACGGGCCTGTCTTCTTTTTGAGGGTACCGCTCTCTTTTTTGTCCTTCGCAAAGAGAAACCAAAAGGAAAACCACCATTTTGGGGTCCCCAAAAAAAAGACAGCGCCCATACCTTGATGACCAACTCCAGGAACCTGTCGTATTTCTTCATCATGTACTTCCAGCAATCCAGGGTAGGGTCACCCGGGGAGGACAAACGAGGAGGAGCCCGGGGTGTGTCACAACATAGGGGATGCCCGGAGATGGCTTCAGTTTTCATGTCGGTTTCCTTTGAACCCCCCCCCCCCCGCTAAAACGGGTACCAACTCCAAGAAGCACAATCCAAAAAAATGGTTGCTTCAGGTTTCACGGTGGTGCCCCTTAAAAACCCGCCGAAAAAGAAAAAAATCGGGGTAGCCCAACTCTAAAGAAGAAGCGCAACAGAAAGGCTGCCCCGGCCCTGTCAAAGTGGTAGATCAAGTCTAACTCGCAGACGTTCTCGAAGCAGTTGTCCAGGACCTGCACGAAGACCTGATCCATCGATCGAAAAATCGGCGAAACGTTGAGGAGCCGGTTGAAGCAACCAAAAAGAATGGGTAAACGTTGGGCTGTGAACATTGTAACTGGCAAAAAAAAAGTGGACCTCCGAATTCGGGGATTCATGTCCAACCACGTGTGGTGGGTTCCAATAAATCCGTCCCCATTTTTGAGAAGGCGTCTTGTCCCATGGAAAGGCCAAAACCCCCAACCTGTGTGCCCAACGCCAAGCTTCCACCTCTTCGCAAGCCGGTCAAGTCACCGGGTTTGAGGTGCACATGAGCTTCAACCCTCCGGAAAATGATGGTCTTGACGTTGGTTTCAGTTTCCAGCGGGGAACCTTGGAAACCCTCCTGACGCGGGTTTCCGGCGGGCTCCCCGCGTTTTCTGGGGTTTCCTGCAACTCAAAGCACAACACTTGCGGGCAGGTTCTGACACAGCAAAATAACACACCCAAAGCTGGTCTTGATGTTGGTTTCAGCTTCCAATAACACACCCAAAACTTCGAGAAACGTTGGTGCATGACCGCACCAGCTCCAGCCGGCGACCTCTTCTTTCTCTTCAGCTCCAAAAAAATCCATCCCCGCGCCCCCCGCGCGGTCCGCGAGGAGGCCGAAAAACGAAGCGGACAAAATCCGGTCGCACGCGCCTGGATCAGGTCCAGCACGCCCAGCTCGCTCTCCGCGCCATCCGCCACGAAGATGAAGTACAGCGTGGCGAAGTGTCTCGGGCTTTCGGCGCGCGGCGATCGACGGCGCGCGGCGAGCGGCGCGCATGGCAAAGCGTGTGGCGAAAAATGGGGACTGCCGGGATGTGTGTTCTCCCCAAAGGTTGAGGCATTCGGGAAGCCATGTGAACTTTGAGGGGAGTAGAACAAATGCAGGGGGCACTGGATTTCCCCCGCACAGGTTGATCAACGAGCTGACGATTTCCGTTGATAACGATCGCCACTTCTCGTGGTTCCAAACAAGGAATAGCTCGGAAACCCTGCTGAAACGAGCCGCAGCCCAGATTCGATTGACCCGAGAGAAGAATGTCCTCCACTAACATGCAAAAATTCTCGGGCTGGCATTTAACAGCGAAACCCAAGCCAGCGGCCATTTGAGGGGACCAATTTCCATTTGATAAGCAACCACATCTGGTTTCCGGAAGCCGCGGAAGAAAAGTTGTCCAATCCATCTGTGCCCGCCTGTAAATGATCTTGTGGTCAGGACCGAAGAGCGTGTCATCCTCAAACGTATCTGTCGCAGAGGCAGCTGGGAAATGGACTGACATGTGAACATGTGCAACCATGGATGCCACTCACAACTTGAACGTAACGTTTTGTACACGGAACATTGGGAACAACTGCATATTCAAGTGTCTAAGAGTGGTGTTCAGTTCAAACTCAAAGTGGCCATCACACGCAGATTCTACTTTTCCCTCAACGCCTCTCCCTATTCGCTCCTCTACAAAGCAGCAGCAGCTGTCGTCTGCTCGCGTGCTTACTGGCAAGAGATCCGACGTGCCAAGACAACACACATTGGTCCACGTTGTTGGTCACATGGTGACACTGTGACTCACCAAGTCGGGCTTTCGAGTACGGAATTACACCCCGAAAACAGACCCAATGCAATCTGGCTTTATGTTGACCTAGTCCAGAATAAAGTGTTGTCGGCTACAATCCCAGGGTGTAACTGAAAAGCTCTTAGACCAAAGTACTCGCCTTTATCAGCTTCTTGGCTGGAATTAGGACCCCAGCAAAAAAAAAGGTTTGCCTGGTTAGTGGAAAACAAAGCGAACCCCCCCAAAAAAAAAAAACGAATTATGGGGAAGGCTTGAGGGGCGTAGAGGACCCTTGAGCGTCAAGCTATGTGGTCTCAGCAAACCGGCGGCTGGACCGAGCCGGTAAATGCCCTGCACGATGTGCTTCTGCCTGAGGCAAGGTGCAATCCCCCTCCACAGGAGGCCCGGGATAGCGATCGATTTGAGAGAAGTGGCAAACTGAAACGGGACAACCCAAAACCCTCTGGCAGACTGTAACTCTCTGGCCTGTCACGTCCCCTTCTACCAATCAAATGTGAGTGGAGATTAAACTTTGGTCTGGCTTTGTTGTTTCTTTCGAGATTTGCTGATCAAATGAAAGCATTTGGGTCTGCCAGAGTGTTCTTGCTCAAGCACATTCATGGAAACTGCCATTTGAGGGTCCTGGGGCGAACAGAAAAAGCAACTCGCTGGATGTCGGTTGGTGATTGCGGGTGACTGGCCCAAGGCCCAGGGTAAGGGGCTGTGTTGTGATTTGTCTTATGCTGCATGTTGGCGAGGGGCAGGTGGATTTGGGGTCTGGTATATAGTGGATTGGGAGTGGGTGCAGGGTGGGGTGGGCAGGTCTCGGGTGAGGGTGGGCTCGGTGTGGGTTTTAGGGTTGGGGTAGATGGTAGGATTGGGGTGGGGCTTGAGTCGTCGATCGGGCTTCAGGTTAGTTCAGGTTGGTTTCGGGAGTTCCGGTTAGTTCAAGGTATATTTTGCGTAAGTTGAGCAGGCTTAGGCTTGGTTGGACTGGCTTAGGATTCGGTAAAGGTTGGTGTAGGGTTGGTTTAGGTTGTGATTTAGAGTGGGTTCGATTTATGGTTGTTTGAAGTGGGTGTGGGGATCTGGGGGGCATCAGGTGGATTGAGACTGCTAGAGTGGGGTTGAGTTTCGCTTTGGTGGGATTCCGAGTCGGGTTGGGGTTGGGTTTCGGGTTGTTTCAGAGGTCTGCAGGTCTTTGGCTGGATTTGGGACGGCCACCAAAAGCACAGCAGTCCCAAAGCCCAAAAACCGGATTCGCGAGGGCAACCAAAAGCATAGCCCTAAAGCCGGAAGAGCACGATCAAAACTGGCACCAACGAAACAGTCGCGCCCTCCACCAGCCGGAAGAGCCCAGAGACCAGAGATACATTCCGCCTGTCAACCGCCACGTCGTAGTAGAAGCGCAGCAATCTCGCTTTGCCCTGGCGGGTGGCATCGAGATCGAAGTTCGGACCGGGAGGGATGAATTCCCGTCTCTTCCATTTTGCGGTTTCGCCCCCTGGCAAAAATTTGAAAATATGTCCAATAGTGATAGATACCCCTAAAACCCAAGAGGGGAAACTGAAAGATATTCTCAAGCAAGGGGAAGTGGTGGTTTCCCTTCAAACCCCCCTCCCGAAAAGATTAAAGTACCCTCAGAAGCCACACACGACTCCGCCCACACGGAATCTGCGCGGATGGTGCAAGCGTGGACTCTGCCCAAGTTGCCACCTTTTGACGCCCGACTCCGGAAAAACGCGGGCGAACTGGGAACGTACGGCACAGATCTTCGATGGGGAAAAACCCAACGGACCTTGGCGGTAGTCTCAGAACCTTCACAGCTGAAAACCCAGGCGTCAAGCTTCCGTTTGCTTTCCATGTCACGCCCCAACCCCTGTCTTGCCGGCCCAGAATACCACGCCTCGCACCAGCTTTGCTGGACCCTTCTTATGAAAACTTCTATGCCATGGCACACTGTGTCTTGCATCGTGCCTTAGGCACATGCGGAATGCGGAAAAACTGGGATGGGAGGGTTCACAAAACTGGGTTCGCCCCTTGTCCAAAAGCAAAAAGAAGGCCGTACAGGCCCATTCTGGTTCTTGTCTTTGGTGTGTTCAAAAGAAAGCAAACCATTTTCGGGGCTCCCCCCAATTTTCGGACTAAGCCCATTTCAACCACCCTCCCCCCAGAAAAAGAAATCCGCCGTCGCTGGCTCGCTCTCCCGATTCCGGAGGATAAGCGGCTATCCGCGTCTAACGGGAGCGCGAGCGCTGCCGGCAGCTGCGGCTGTGGTTCGTGATCCATCGCCAGGTGAGGTTCACGCGGATGGAGGTGGATCCTGGGCGATCCGGCGCGCCAGTCGTCCCAACCCAAGGGCACGGGCGGAAAGCCCCCCAAAGACTTCCGGCGTTGCGGTCTCTGCAACTTGGCCTCTGTGGTTCCCTATTTAAAAAACAAAAAAAGACAAAAACAAACTTGGGCCTTTCGCTCACGCTCTCACGAATCCCTCGCCTGCTCGTGCTCTGGGCACGCGGTGTTGGAAGAGCCTTCCAGGGGTGAGTTAGTCGATGGCACGCCATTCCGTGGGTGTCAAACATGGGTAAATCCAGAATGGGGTGCCCGGGCAAATGTAAACATGGACTGAAACCTGTGGTCCATAGCCAGGTGGCCTGTTTTGAACCATGCGCAATTCCCCTTGTCGGTAATTTGGCATGATGAAGCCAAGAAAAGACTACTTTCACCCGACTGTCCCGTGTCCCGGGACCCATCGGTGGACTTCATTTACATGGGAATGCATGGCCAACCATCTGCAGTTCGTCAAAACCTGAATCCCAAGAAAATGATATACATCTCTAGAAACCGGTGATGCTGTTCTTCCCCCTGTCGATGTTCAGTAATCTTTTAGTACTCGGACCGAGCTCGCCGTGTTGGCGAGCTCTGTCTGAAGCCATGCGGGTCATCTTGCCAGAGATGTCTTGCCGGCACATGAGCAAAGACCCAAAACCCATGCGATTTGGGGGGGCCATGGCCGGAAAGGTTAGAACTGGGCTGTCCGGTCTTTAGTGGGATAAATGGAAACCCGACCACTAAACCAACTAAAAGCCCAAGGGGATGGTTGGGAACCACCAAGAAACAAAGCCTCCCCATAAACCGCAAAGAACCACGGAGCCGAACAATCTAGCAAAATCGACGATGGGGGGCGGGGGTTCTTCGCTGTTCGCATGATAAATCGTTGAACGAGTCAACAACGACAGCATCAGCTGACTCAGTTTGGCGCCGGACATGCCCATTCACGAGATCCCAAGGTTGAATTAGTAATCGGGCTCAGTCTGGAATCAAACTCTTTTAGGGGAAGCTTCCCAGTCTTTCCAGTGATCCTTCTTTTCAGGAAACCATTAAAAAGAAAGAGGAAAAGCCAGCTGTTTCCCCCCCCCCCCCCCGAAAAGCACGATAGTTGAAAAGAATCCCCTCTAAGTGGCCCTGGTTTGGCGGCTCGGAGGTCAGGGAGTGTCTCATCCTACAAGGACCCGCCACACCAAAAAAAAAAGAGAAAGAGACGTTGCGCATGGCGAGAAGGTCAGCTGGGGAGGCGTTAAGCCCTTCCTCGCTCTTTGTTTCCAAAGCCAAGGTTGGCTTATCGACAACCAGCTGACTTCTGGGTGAAAGGACATGAAGTCCTTTCGTTTGTCCCCCCCCCCCCCCCCAAAAGAAGAAAAAACAAAAAACGCTCCGCTGGTTGCGAAATGCCCGCGGGTGGAATGTCCGTGTCAGAGTTCCACAAGTCAGCGACGAGCGGTTGGAAGCGAAATGAGCTGCCTCACTCGCTGAGATTGGGCGGCTGCCGCAAGGCGAACAGGCGAGGCAGCCCGCTGTCAACACTGTGTTGCAACTTTCTTTCTGCTGAAACACCATCTCTGCTTTAACTTGAAATTACTTGAAGGCCATGTCTCGCTCTTCTCTCAGTTGCTTCTTCTTTCTTTCTTCTCGCTGGTGCGGTAAAATCGCAGGGTCCCTGAGAATTCGAATGACCCCAAGAAAAACCATCCAACTGGCGGTTTCCTTTCGGGGGACCAATTTCTGGGCTCATTCAACCAGAGTCCCTCCCGATTTCGCACGGATCCTGGTCCGTAGCTGGCTTCCCTCTAACAAAACCGACTTTCCACAACTCGCCCACTATGGTTTCCGCCATGATGTGTCCCGCAAAAAGAAATGACTTCCCTCCAAAAAACACACCCCAAAAAGGGTCACGGCGACCCTCCCTGCCACGACCTTTTCCTTCTCTTCGTCGCAAAAAACTCCTGCGCCCCCCGCCCCCGGGCCGCTGCGTCTGACCCTCCATGGTGCACAGCGCCCCGCCGCCCAGCTTCAGCTCGAAGACCGCCTCGGCAACGCGCGCGTTTCCGTTTCTCCCCGGAAGAGGCGAAGGCCTGGAACCCGGTGGGGCGAGAATACTGTGTTCATGGCTTCGAAATCCAAAACAAATGCACCACTTTGAAACCATGGTTGAAACCATAACGTTTGTTGGTATTTACAGGAGAAAAATCATGATTCCAAGGGATTTCTTAGGTGCTGCAGGAGTTCGCCAATCTACAGTAGGGACCCAAAATATGGCCGTGGGTCAACACCAATCAGATCCCATTTTGGGGGATTGGTGAATTCACCACCCATTTTAGTCAATTTAGCGGTTGGATTGGGATGTTCACTTGGGGGTACGGGGTTTTGACCCATGGCCATATCCCGAAACAAGCGCGCAAGCCAACACAGACAGACACAGACAGACACAGACAGACAGACAAACGGACAAACAAACAAACAAACAAACAAACAAACAAACAAACACCAAGCCTGTTGTGGAGACTCCCAATGTTGAGAACTCCACGGCTCAACGCTCAAACCAACGTGCGATGGCCTGGGCCAAGTCTTCTTGCATTCGCCAAGAAGCGGCTTCCCGAAGAAACCGGGGGCTCTCAAAAGAGCCAAGGCGAAGGAAAAACTTCGCCTTGCCCCTTCGGAGGTTGCAAATTTGCTGGGGGTGCGGATTTATTTTGTTTTGTTTGTGTTTTTGCTGTTTTTTTTTTGAATTGTTTTTCTCCGTTTTTCGTCCCTCCATTTACTGGTCCTGTTTTGGGGAACAGAAAACCAAAACCCAAAGCAGCCCGGGCACAGGATTTCCGATTTCCCCGAGTCAAATGTTGATCAATGAGTATTTCCCAACCGATCGCCACTTTTGGCGGTCCAACAAAAAGGAATGGCCCGGGAAACCCGGGAGTGGGTGCGTCGTCTTGTGAGGCTACCCCTGTTTTGTGTTCAAAGGGAAACGAAGAGGAACTCACCATTTTGGGGGTCTTCCTAAAAAGAACACGCAGGTGTTCCTAGAGTCTGAGAGCATCCAAGCTTTGACGCCTCTGCTCTGCGTTTCCTTGCCCAAAGATTCCTTGAACCTACTTTTACTTCAGTAGAAGCTCGCACACACCAAAGGTTCCTGAATCTATGCGCTGACAACTTGTTCCCTCAAAAGACAGACTTATTGGAACCTTGTTTTGTTTGATTACTTCAATGGGCACAGGTTTCCACTGCAGCATAGGCAAGCCACGTTCATCTGGCAAAAATCCCAGTTGCCTAGTGCACCAATCAAGCGCCGCCACATGCATAAACTTTGCCCAGCACAAGAAGCAACTTCAACAAGACAAGCTTCTGCAAAAACCACTGCTCAAATGACACTGGTCCCAGTACTTCTCAATCAACGACCCCCGTTCAGTGGCAGGCGAAAGGGAAACAAAACAACCATTTGCTGTCTTGATCACCCGCCAGAAACAGGCCTCCTCCGTGCCATCCCAGGCACATTTTTTTTTTGGTCAGCAACGAGTCTAGCCCCGTCGCTCGCATGTGTAAAAACCAGGTGACAGAGTTCAAGGGGGATGAGAAACCAAAAAAGGTTGGAATTGTGCCATCTTTCACCCACCTCGTTTCTCAAAACAGACGCAGAAATCGGTCCGCCAAAACTGCCACGGTTTCCTTTTGGTGTCTCTTTGAATACCAACTGAAGGGGCCCTTTTCCACCATGTTTGAGCAACACTCACTTGGATGATCACAAAATAGTTGTCCTTTCGATCTCGCTTTCAACCCAGAAAAGGGCCGCCGCCAACTCCAAAACGCACCCGGAAAATAAAAAGAAGAAAAAAAAAGCTACAAGGATTTGGGATCTACTCTGAAGGTTTATCTAGGCCTTGCTGCCCGAATTCAGCCAGGCTAGGAATCAAAAAAAAGACAAGAGCCCTGGCTCGGACCTTTTTTGCGCTCACTTGGCGTTTCCAAAGCCGGGCCCGACTGGGACGATGGGCTTCGGCACCTCGGGCCGAAAGAAGTGTCTGCCGTCCAAGGCGTGGGACAGCGGGAGCTCCATCCTTGGTTGCGAAATCTGCTCCCCTGCAGCGAGTGAATAACTTTTAGTGGGTTAATACGATTTTCACCAATTCAAAAATTGGCAACAAGTTTTCCAGTCCTAACATCCCTTGGCAAAATGAACCAAAGCATCTCCTCCCGAGCGCCGCTGTCGTAGCGCAGCTCCAGCCGAAGCACCGGGCGCTCTGAGCGCAGCTCGCAGCGGTAGCAGCCCACAGAGCTCGCGGTCTCTTCCACCTCCTGAAGCAAATTCGGTTGGCCCTGTTCAGGCGTCAATTGAAACCAAAAGGAAAACCATTTGTGTGTGGGGACCCCCCCTTTCAAAGTTCTGTTCGAAACCAAAAGGAAAACCACATGGCATTATGCCCAACATGTTTTAACCCATGGGTTTGTGTTTTTGCTGAGAGGGTTGGTTTGAAGGGAAACCTTCTATTGGAAAGCACCCATCGTAACAGACAAAGCTTGAGACTGCACTTTTGCAGATGGTGTTACACCGCCAAGCAATGTTCAAGAAGCTAACATCACTGGTGCAATTCAACCGCGCCGCTTTGCCTGTCCACACATCCACAAATCAGAAGCTTGGCTGGCACCTGCCAATTTGAAAGAGGGCAGATTTGCCTGCGCTGTATTTTTGCTGGCGTTCGTTCCTGGCAGAGTCGGTATCCGGGCTGCATGTGTTCAGACGTCAGCAGGTCACTTAGTGCAGCAAAATTTCCGTCACTTAGTGCAGTCAGAACCCAAGTGTTAAACAGGTCACTTAGTGCAGCAAAAAACCCGTCACTTAGTGCAGTCAGAACCCAGGTGTTAAACCGGTCAGTTCAATAAAATCAACGGGCCCAACGCGCTCAATGGGCCCAACGAACTCAACGGGCCCAACGCGCCCAACAGGCCAAACGGGCTCAACGGGCCCAACGGGCTCAACGGGCTCAACGGGCCCAGCGGTCCCAACGACCCCGGCGGGCCCAACAAGCCCAACAGGCCCAATGGGCCCGACGGGCCCGACGAGCCCAACGGGCTCAGCGGGCCTACGTTGCGCTACATTACATTACATACATACACTACATACATCGCATTACCCACATAACATAACATAACAAAACATACAACAAAACATAACATAACATACACACATTACAAACATACATACATGCATACATAAATTACACATATTACATATATTAAACACATACATACATACATACAAACATACATACATACATGCATATATATATATATATTATATTATATACATACATACATAACCTACATACTTACGTACATAGCATACATAACATACATAACATACATACAGGCATACATCACATTGCACTACATTACGTCACATTACATTACATTACAAAACATACATAACACTACACACATAATAACATAACAAAACATAACATAACATAGCGCAGCGTAAAAAAACATAACATGACATACCATACATATATACATGAAGTTTATCCCATATTCATTGTTCCAAAAAGAGTCTTCCGCCTCGCCCTTCCGCGAACCTTCCGCGAACTTCCGCGATGCAGGTAAAACCACACTTTTTGGCACGTGTCTAAACACATGTAAGTTCTTGTAAAGGAAAAGTAAAGCGAGCCAAGACGAAGAGCCAGAGCAGGGGACATAACATAACATAACATACATACATACATACACGTACACACGCATACATACATTACATACATACTCACATAACATACATACATACGTACATAGCATACATAACATACATACACACATACACGACGTTGCATTACATTACATTATGTTACCTACACAACACTACATACACTACATACATACATAACATAACATAACATAACATACCATACCATACCATACCATACCATACCATACCGTACTTACATTACATTACATTACATTACGTTACATTACATTACATTACATTACGTCACATTACATTACATTACGTTACATTACATTACATTACATACATACATACATACACACATACATGAGTGCATGCATGCATACAAACATACATACATACATACATACATACATACATACATACATACATACATACATACATACATACATACATATATACACATATCATATACGTACATAAATACATACATACACAACACAACACAACGCAACGCAACGCAACACAACACAACGCAACACAACATACATACATACGTACGTACGTACGTACATACATACATACATTACATACATACATACATTACATACATACATACATACATACATACATACATACAACCAACATACTTACGTACATTGCATACATAACATACACAACATACATACACGCATACATCACATTACATTACAAAACATACATAACACTACACAAATAATGTGATATAATAACATCACATAACATAACACAGCACAGCGTAAAATAGCATACATAACACAACATACATATATTTGTGAGCCTTGTTCCAAAAACAGTCTTCCGCCTCGCCCTTCCGCGAACCTTCCGCGAGCCTTCCGCAAACCTTCCCAGATGCAGGTAAAACCACACTTTTGGCACGTGTCTAAACACATGTAAGTTCTTGTAAAGAAAAGTAAAGCGAGCCAAGACGAGCCAGAGCAGGGGGCTCAGCGGTCCGAACGGGCAGGCCCCACGGCCCAAACGGGCACAGCGGGCTCAACGGTCCCAACGGGCCCAGCGGTCCCAACAGCCCAACAGGCCCGACGGGCTCAACGGGCCACACGGGCTCAACGGGCCCGTGAAGGTGAAAGTGACTGCCGCACTAAGCGACAGGATTTGCGCCGCACTAAGCGACAGGATTTGGACCGCACTGAGCGACCGCCTGACCTGTTCAGACTAAGGATTGTTTCGGCTTAGCAGCCATATCGCCAAGGCTTTGGATCTTCCACCCAACTCAGACTCCGCTGAGGACTGTGCTTCTCTCAATCGCAGGTGCTTCCAACCTCAAGAAGACGACGACCTATTGGACACTTGCTGCGCGGCTTTCTTCTGGCGACCTCGTGGGATGCCCCCAAAGGCACAGGAACTATTCGGAGTCCTCACTACGGCCTTGACAGGCTGCAAAAAGTCATGAATCGCAGAGGCGTTTGTGCGCTTGCACGAGCATTAGTAGTATTCTTTGCAAGATCGGCGAATGATGATGGATGATGCGCAAGCTCGGTCACGATTGAAAGCACTCCAAAAAGCAGTTCATCGGCTTGTTTCACTCTCAAAAAAACACCATTGCCAGGTGCACCATGGCCACCGGAAAATCTGGGCGACACGTCTGCTCGAGGAACAAGTGCTAGAGGATGACTTTGGGCCTAGTGCTTCGCATTCAACGCCTTTTTCGATGCCCGGAGGCTTGGATGAGATGGCGAGAGAGAGCGCTCAGGCCTTGTGGCTGCGCATAGAGAAAGATGGCTGCGCACCCGTTTTAACGGACACCCTTGTTCCAGATATATGCCCACAAAAGTGGTCTTATGGACCTTTGCAACTCTCATGGAGTGGTTCTGAGCGGGGCAAGGGGGGTACTGCAAACCAATTAACTTCCTTTAGAATCCTTTAGCTTCCTTTAGCTTCCTTTAGCTTCCTTTAGTTTCCTTTAATTTCCTTTAGCTCCCTTTGGCCTCCTGTACCTTCCCAAGAATTGCAGTCACTCCCCTTGCCCCCCCTCAGAACGCTCGTTCATGAACACAGGTGTTGCGCTGAGGCCCAAAGGTGGTTTTCACCTGCCTGGATTCCACGTCCCCTCAAAACACTTGGTCTCCTTTCGGATTCAGATCAAAAGGGCTCCCTGTTCTGAGACACCAACAAAGAACGTCAGGGGTCACACAAAATACTAAGCTCAGATTCTGTTTCATATGCAGCCTACCTGAAAAGAATGAGATAGTTTTGGAGGCGACCCCTCCCGGCCACCCCGTCCATGGAGTTGCTGTTGCCCCGCAGCATGACTAGCTGGGCCTCGCCGGCGAGACTTTGGTCGCTGGGCCCCAGCTTAAAGCGCCTTGCCACAAAGCTGGCGCCCGAGTCCTCGCCGTACGCGCCTCGCGCCGTCTTCGGAGCTTCGCGGCTTCAGCCCCCCGCCCCACTTGTTGGAGCCAAGCGCTGGTCAACCAGGTTGCCCCCTGTCTGCGGAGATAATACAACAATTTTCGCCGAAGGACCCCTGAAGGGCTGCCAACAAAGTGGGCTGAGTGAACAAAGAACAAAGGCTGAACATGCCGAGAACCCAGGTGGGCGTTGGCATTGGTGTTCATTTCCCCATGAATGCCGCGGCCATGGGCGATGAATTGAGTATGGACCAAAATTAAAACACCCGGGGATCGTGGGTTTTAGTCCATGTTCCCAATTACTAGGTTCCATTTTGGGTACCTATCTTTGACCCACAGCCAATTTGTGGTGAAAACATCTGTTTTTTTTCGGTCGCTCGAGGCGCATGAGATCGAAACCAGCTGAGTGGTGGAGAAGTTCGGTGGCAAGGACTCCAGCCGCGTTTGGATGATGGCGCGGTTCCAAGACTTGCCTCGGCTGGATCCGAAAAAGGTCGAAAAACCGCCGAAGAAGTGTCCGAGAATCGGGAGGGGATCTTGTTTAAGGGGGTACCCTTTCAAAATGGAGGTCGTTGTCCTTTTGGTTGCCCTTCAAAACCAAAAGGGGAACAAAGACAACCCCGAATAGACTCTGGAAAAACTGGATTGAAAAATAAATCGCCCGTCTCAAAACCAGAAGCTCAGACCACCAAGGGGAAGCTGGTTTGCCTTTTGCTCACTCCGATCACGATCACCTATGTTGGGGGGCTATCTTCCCAGGGAAGAGGGGGAGGGGGCAGTGGAGGAAGGGGGGGGGGGACTTGGCAGGAGGGGTTTGGGACGGGAAACGGGGGAGGTGTTCTCATATGTCTGCCTCTGGCCGTTTTTCTTGTTTTTTGGGTCTATTTATCCCTCCCAACCAACCAACCACCAACCCAACCCCTCTTCTCCCTCTCCTCTCCCCCTCTTGCCTTTCCTTTCAGCATACACGGAGCCTCTCCCTATAAATAGTACATGCTTTATTTTGACTAAGCAAATACAAAAAATAAAGCTTGAGTGATAATTATACACACATATATTACTCTCGAGTTTAAACGCAGACAAACTAATTAACTAATTAAGAATTAATTAATGAATTAACTAATTAATTAGTTAAAACGAAATTTAAACAAACTGAACAAACAAACAAAACGATAATACATTCCAACAAAAAAATGATCTAAACCAATCCCCCCGTTCCAAGCCACACACGGAGCGATGCCGCCATCCCCCCGAGAGCTGCGGCACTCGCAGGGACACCTCCCGCGGCACCTGCCGCGCCAGAGCCAGCGCCGCCGCCGTGAGCGGCGGAGCCGGGGGCGGACTGGAAGGGCACACGGCGGAATGAAACCTCTGGGGTTTGGCTCCCCATTCCTAAAGCATTTTTCGCCAACCAAAACAGGGTCAGCTTGGTACACAGGTCTGTCAGAATCAAACCCTCCACATAGAAAAGGCCGATCACGCAGCTCTCAAGGGAATCGGGTATCCAATGGCCCCAAAAATGGAAAGAACGCTCCAAGGCGGGAACTTGCCGCACCGTTGCAGCGGCTTCATGGCTGTTCTTTACTAAGCGCAACGGCTTGCTCAGGTCTCTACTACGGGTTCTGCCCAGTCTGCCTTCAGAGGCCCCAACTGTTGGAAACTAAAACCCCGCAGGATGTCAAGTGGGGCAGCTTTTCTGATCGGAATAGGATGACTTTGACGGTAGAACAAAGGGGCCAAGGAAAGCAGCGCTATCTTTTCTGGAGGTCAGCGTCCAAGATTGTTGAGCCATGGCCGTCCGTTCGTCCAAAAAAAGCGTGCGTCACTGTATTCTTCCCAACTGCTACCTCGGGAAAAACATGCACTCCCGAAAGTGTGCAAGCACGAGGGCAAGCCTTTGACCAACTCATCATTGTATATATATACATAAATAAATATATATATATATATGGTACCCGCCCCCCGCAAACCCTGCTTTCGTGAGTTTGAGCCGTGTTTTTTCCACTGTTTTATGCCCTTTTCGCCATATGTATATATGCCAGCATGTATTGTATACATACATATGCAATTCAAGCCATGATATCATCACCTGGGGTTGTTAAAACCATGTATTCAAGAACCTGAAAAATATTTTTGAAAATCTTGAATCTTGAATATTGGGTCCCATATTTTCTTTAGAAAAAGAATCAGTGTTGTCCCAATACTCCAGGTTTCCAACACATACTTCTGCAACCAAGTACGCGCACCCGCATGCATTCACATGCACTTAATCTGCAACCCGCCAAGTTCCCGGAAGTGCTGGGTTCAGAGCGCGGGGACAAGATTCTCGGAAAAGTTTTCCGTGAAAGGCTTCAATCTTGAATCTCAACCCAGTGGAAAATACTTGTTAGAGCAACTTGGAAGTTTTTTGGGGTTGGCCAGGATTTACAATTCTCAGGAAAGCTTTCTGCGCAATCTTGAGTCTTCAATCCAGTAACGACAGTGGCGATCTCAGTGACAGCGCCGGGCAGCAGCTTGCCATCCCTGGCGCCGTCGACCACCTTCTGCCAGTGCCTCCATGCCTTCTCCGCCGTCAGAGTGTTCTCGCTCTTGAAGAAACTCGGGCTCACGTCTTGTCCGGGAGTGAGCTCCGCCGTCAGCGCCGCGCGGTATCTCTTGCGCAACTCCGGATAGGCCCAATTGAAGAACAGGAACTCGTTCTTCCTGGTGTGGAATGCATAGATGATGTACGCGTTCCCCACCCAGTCAGCCGACATGAATGCTTCGTCGCTGGTGAACAATCTGATACCATCCTGCATCATGAGTTCCGTGTCGAATGCAATCTTCAAGCGCTTAGAAGAACTTGAATGTTGCTGGCGTTTACACGAGTGACACAAAACAAGCTGAGTAATTCACTGGGTCTCAGTCTGCTTGGGCTGCCCAACCAATCTGACACAACGGAAAAATGCTGAGCCAAAAAGGAGCAACCATGAAGGCACTTCAGCCGATGAGCCGAATGTGAACACGGCACCCTTGTAAAAGAAAAGCTTTCAAAGCCACATTGCGTTTACAGAAAATTCCAGCGTCTACAGAAAATTCCAACCACGGTCGCTTCTTTTGTCTTTGTTTCTTGTTTGGGGAGGTTCTTTCACATAAAAGCAGCCCGCACGCACACCCGCACACTGAGCATGTTCCCGATCAAAAATCTCCCCATGGAGACACCCAAAATGTCCACGAAAACTTGCTGGAGCGTTTTCGACAGACAGAGACAGAGACAGAGACAGAGTGAGAGAGAGACAGAGACAGAGAGACAGAGAGATAGAGAGACAGAGAGACAGAGAGACAGAGCGTGGTCGCAGAAATGTGGCGCGTAAACCCTAAATGTGCTTTGTGAAGGAGAAGGCTTTTCTAAAATGCTTGGGAATTCGAGGGCTAAATGGACCCCGAAAGCACGCCCTGTGTTTCGAACTCCGAGCTTCGTGTTTCGAGTGTCGTGCGTCAAGCAAGCTTCGGGTCTCGTGCTTCGAGCTTCGAGTCGCGAGCTACGCGATTTGCAGTTCGCTGCCTGGCTGCCGCCAAGGTGGGCCGGGCCCTGGCCTTGTGGGCGGGGACCGAGGCTCAACCTGAGGGAGGTCTGCGAACCCATGCAAAAATCAAATCACTCAGAGCTCTCCAAATTGAACTTCATATGTGAGTGCTTGTCTATGTCGATGAAGTCGGTACAAATATGCAGATACAAGATGAATGCGACCGATCTCCGTCAAAACACATGAGTTCGATCATTTGTGACATCAGCGCAAAAGTCAATCGCAGAGAAACCTGCACAAGAACCGGTCTTTTAGGATGGCACAAGTTGCCGCTTCACTGCTTTCTCGAGGCGAACATGACAATTCAGCTCGGAAGGAATGTCTGGCAACAACCGCGATGGAGATCCATAGCCTTCTTGCGGACTCCATCAAACACAGCAACTGGCAGGGATTGTATGGCAACTGGCACGTCTCTTTGTGCAACGCTTGCTGGGCAGAAGGTGAACATGGCACGCTTGCAACGATTGGGGCGTTATAAGCCACATTGCGTCTTCAGGAAATTCCAACCACGGTCGCTTCTTCTTTTTGTTTGGGGGGGTCCTTCCAAGCAAAAGGGCCCAAGCCGGCCGCCTACGAAAAACGGAGCTTTCAGTACCAAACTGCGCACGGAACCCCTTTGGCGCGAAGTGGTCTTGGCGGATCATTCGTGAAAACGATGCCCGCAAAAGAACGCAGCTCTCAATCAAACCGTGTCAGCCTGCGCGGGAAGCTTTCAACGCGATGCGTTTTTTAGAAGCAAGCGACAAACCGGAAGTAGAAACCTGTCAGCCTTTTCCTCTCCTTTAAGGTCTCGGAAGCTTGCCTGCAGCAAGGCGCGCAGGCAGGCCGCGAGCGCAGCTAGCCCTGCTTGACACCCGGTCTCGCCTCAATCTTTCGGGCGTGTCCAAGTTTTCGCCCAAGCGACAGAAGGTTCGCATCGCTCGGTCTGCCACCTCAGACGGCACGCTAAACCGGCTGCGCGCAGGTCGCTGCAACTTGTTGACCCGGACACCCTCCGAAGAACGGCGCTCCAAAGAACCGCGCTCACGCCAATGCGAAAATAACTTCACCTTCACCAACACTACAAACCGACCAAATCACCCCTAGAAACCGGTCAACTTAGAAACCGGTCAAATCCCATCTAAAACCAACTTTGGCCAAAGCCGGTTGATTCCCCCTAAAAACCCGTGTCAAATTCCCTCCCAGAAACCAATCAAATCCCCTAAAGGGTAGAAGCCGGTAACCCCTCCCTCTGGAAACCTGTCAAATCCCCTCCAAAAACCGGTCCAACTCCTGGTCAAATCCAGCAAAATTATTGCTAGAAACGACTTGGCCCAAGCGCACTGCCACTCTGTAGCTCCGCACTCTGGCCCTTGAAGCCATGTGCAAAACCCGCAGACATGCTCCCACCCTCCACCTTGGAAACCAGCTCACGCATTTCAGCGCCAACTCCCTCACTCTGACAAACACACTTCAAGGCAAACTAAAACACGGTATATGCCTCAAAGCCAGCCAAAAGCGGACTGGCCAAGGCGGCAACGCGAAGCGTTTACAATCATGGTGTCCTGTTCAAATAAGACTTTAAATACAACTGATCTAGCTAGAATCCCTGTTTCGAGATAGTCTTAGAGTTCGAACCTCTAATCCCTTGAAATGTCCATTTTGGTACACCGTCTAAGAAGTGAAACATCGGACCTTTCTCATGCTGCAAAAGGGGCATGATGCAAATAACACGAATCCTATTTCGAACCGTCTTGTAGAAGTCCCTTAAATGTTCAGCCATACATAATATGAAATATATTTGAGAGGTAAGTCGATTTAATCACTATTTTGAAAAGCCACTTATAATGGTAATAGAGTAAAATTGAAACTTAAATCATATGTGGTAATTAACTCCTATGTAAAAAGCATTATTAAACATTGATTGAATTTTACCCCAAACTATATTTACATAGTAGTTTCACTCCTCCTTGGAAAGGTTTGCTGTTATAAATTGTAATTGAACGTAAACACATTTGGAAAACTATATCCCAACTAAATTATTTTCAAAATTCCAAATCTAGTTGAGGTAAAGTCCTATTTAGAACAATTATCATATTGGGGCATTTCGGAGCAGTCCGGGCTCCAAGTATGAGGATTTAATTTCCCAAATTGGAAAGTTCGAGGATTCCCATCTCTAGATTCTAGATGTCATCCCCAAAAGGCACCAAAACCAGGGTCCATGGGGGGATATATATATATATATATACATATACATGTATACCTATATATATATATATGTATATATACATTCACGCATTTATCTATTTCCTTCGGTCTTCCTTCCTTTCTTACTTGATTTCTTCATGACTGCTCTCTTTCCTTCTTCCTTCCTTCCTTCCTTCCTTCCTTCCTTCCTTCCTTCCTTCCTTCCTTCCTTCCTTCCTTCCTTCCTTCCTTCCTTCTTTCTTTCTTTCTTTCTTTCTTTCTTTCTTTCTTTCTCTCTCGCTCTCTCTCCTCCCTCTCTCTCTCCCTCTCCTGTCTCTCTCTGTCTCTCTCTGTCTCTGTCCCTGTGCTCTCTATCTCCCTCTCTGTTTCACTCTGCATCTTCCTTTGCTTACGTACCTTTCCCTCATTGTTCTCCTTCTTCAACTTCATCGATTCTTAGCTTCTTCCTTCTTTATCTCTTTCTCATTTGCCCATTCGTTCTGCTTTGGCTTGCGGATGTGCCCTCCAATCTGTGTTTGCGCTTACATCTGTGTGTGTGTGTGTGAGTGCTTGTGCTATTTCCCCATGTATTCTCAGTCTGCTGTGCGTGTTTACAATGCTCGCTTGCCTAGTTGTGTGACACAAAATTCAGAATACAAAAAGGAACATGAAGGTGACATTCGCATCAACCCTTGGCGTGCAAACGAGAATCGTACCATACTGAAACTGGACCCCTGTCTAAAATCAAAACTCGATTCTCATGTCTGCAATTGAAGTCTACACGCGCCGTGTTCCTACGCAGCGCAAGCTGCTTGCAACTCCAAGCAGTTACGTGCCATGAACCGCGAAGCCTCGGGGAAAGACCTGGGAGTCGTGGCCATCTTCCGATGTTGTTCAGATTTTTCACCTCAACTCCCCAAGTTCAGACCTGCAAAGGATTCATCATCAAAGCCCGGTACCATGATGGTCGTCGTCCCAGGACCATGCTTCAAGTGGCTTCAGAAGGCGTGGATCCCGCTATTTCCGGCTGGGACTCTCCCTTACTAACCTTCATCTACCCGAATCGCGAATTGTGGTTGTGGCTCACAAGGGGGCAGTTTCAACGGGGACGCGCGCCTCCGGAATGGCTCTATGTTCACGCTGCGGGGGGGGGGGGGGACGGCGGACGTGCCGAGTCTCTCAAAATGCGAGGGCTGCCTATTGCGCTCCCTAAAAGCTTCACCGGTCGCAGGTGGGGAAAGCAAGTCATGTTCTGAAAAAAGAGCTGGGTGAATGATCCAACAACAACAGCATCGAGGAAGTGTTTGTGCCTAGGCATTCGTGGACCCCGGCATTGTTCGCCATTCACCAGCCTGAGCTGCAGATGTATCAGGCGCTGCTTCAATCTCTGCGTCAGGCTTCGCCACAAGACGGGCAGCCATCGGACGATGTTCAAGGTTTGCTCTGTCAGCCACATGCACACGAAGCCGGCAGAGAAGCAAAGGAGATCTACTGTGTGTGGATGGTCGAAATCCTGCACCTAAAACACCCTGGAAAGATGAGCCCCCTATCAATAAGCAAACAATGGTCTCTCATGGTTTCAAAGTGGTGCATTTGTTGGATTTCGAAACCATCCACATGGCTTGACATCTGGTGCTCGTCTGATGGAACTCCGTCGCTACTCGGCACTTGCTCTGCCAACTTGCTCGAGCCCCATCACTGCAAGTCACAAAGCTTGCCCGAAGAAAAAAACGCGCCCTGAAAACTTGGCGCCTGCCCCCCATTGCTGGGAAAATGTGTCTGCAAGAGTGACAAGCAGCAACAACCAGCGCAACACCACATCAAACGGCAAAATCGGGGACCTTCACACGCGGGGAGCTGTCTCTTCGGCTCCCGCCGCACCACAACCCCCAACCCCCGCCCCCCCCCCCCCCACATCCCATGCCCCCGGATCGCCAGCATTTGCTTTGCTCCAAGTGGCATCACTGTCGTTGGGCTTCAGCTGAAAACGCCGCTCCTGCGGGCGCTTTTTAGAGAGAGGAGCGGCACCGCAAAGCCCTGTTGGGCCAGGAGGTTTACGCATGATTGATGGAGACATCAGACAAATATCGGATATGTACATATATATAGATATGGATTACTATACTCCTTTGGGAAAACCATTTTTGGGGTGGTATGAACCCAAAATGAAAGCCGAGATTCCTATTTGGAGTTCCCTATTCTCAGGAAACTGCGGTTGAAACCCCTCTGTGGATGCCAAAAAGGTAAGGGAGGGTAAAGGGCCCTGGTGGGACCTGTCTTTCAAACCACAAGGAAACCAGCCAATTACAAGGGTCCCTAGCTTCGACACCTACGAGCTCGGCAGTCTAAGAAGCTTTGGTCGGAAAGTCGTCAATGTGTAGGATGACCAACTGAGCTTCAGTGGAAAACCAGCTTCTGCGCAAAGATGACAGCTTGGGCAACATGCATCGCTGTGATGCTTTACACAGTTCTTGTTTGCCTTACTTCTGCTTGACTGTATTCACGTATCTATCTGTATGTATATGTAGAATATGCATATGCATGCATGTACTCAAACAAAGCATAGTGAAGCGCTGCAGTTTTTTGGCCATCAGTCCGCGCCGAGGGATAGGGACACGATGCACGCGGAGCCGTCAGGAGTGTCCATCAGGGACTCATCCTCAATCGCCGCAGTTCGAATGAGACAAAGACTTTTTTTGGGGACTGAAGCAAGGTGCCGAAAGCTTTGGGTCCCAGCCGAAACGTGCCACCCGCTAAGGTATATATGTCTCAAAATGGGTCTGTCTTGTTCTCCTTGGGTGCATGAAAGCAGGCAAAAAAGAAGCGGAACCCTCAATGAAAGACAGACCCAAATAGGGGTACCCAAATGGTTTCCGGTTTTCCTCGCGGTGTCCCTTTAAACCCGCCTGAAAGAGTTGTTTGTTCTCCCACACATTCCCACACATCCAAAAAGCCGCCCTCACATCCAAAAAGCCGCCCCTCGTGGTTTCCGTTTATGTCAACCCGCCTGAAAAGAGTGTCTTTTTCGGTGTTTCGCCCAGCAGGCAAAACGGGCCCCAGACAGATTCCCGGCCCTCGTGTTTTTTTTTTGTTTTTTTTTTTTTTTTTTTAAGTTGTTCTCCGCCCAGAGAGGCCACCGAGAGCTCGGCCAGGCGGCGTCGGCGTGCCAGTCGAGGCCATCGGGGCCCACGTAGAGGTTCAGGTTGCAGGCGGTGGGCCAGGCCTGGCTGGGCCGGCGACGGGAAAGGGGCGGAAGGGCGGAAAAGGCCCAGAGGGCTTCGCATCTTTCCCCAAAGGAGAAGAAGAGAGAGAAAGGGGAAGGGAAGGAGAAAGAGAAAGAGAAAGGAACAGGGACAGGGAGGGAGGGGAGGGAACATCTTAGAAAAGGCAAACACAGAGAGCATCCTAAAAAAGACAAACATAAAGGGTCCTTTGGCCTGAAACAGCTCACTCAAACCGGCACATGGCCCTGAAACCGATGGCCGGCGCTGCGCACGACACAGGCCAACTGGGAGAAAAATCGGATCTGATTGGAACCCCTGAGGATAGGAAGTCAAGTGTCTGTGGCTCAAAAACATGTACCAAAATGGCGCCAGAAGCACAAATGGAACCAAAGACGAAGAAACCCGCGGCTTGCCCTAGCTCTCCAATTTTGAGCCATACCCAAGTCTTGTCAGCCCCCCCCCCTCCCCCGAAGCAACTTCCAGGATTTTAAGGGGGCTGGGGGGGAGGGGGGGGGGGGGGGGAGGGGAGGGAGCCCCAATAAGCCGCAAGGCCTTATTAGGGGGCTTAACAAGGGGCTTTTTTGGGCTCCCTCCCCCTCCCCTCTCTCCCCCCCATGAGGATCGAACTGCGGGGGAAAGGCGGCCTTCTCCTCATGGATCCCGAAGATGGGCATCACCTGCCGCATCAGATCCAGCATCCATCCCTCGAAGATGCCGGGCTCCACCACCTTCGAGCCCAATACCCGCCAATCCGAGGCGCAAAGAGAGGCAAAGCTCTTTGCAAAGCTCAACCCAAGACTTTTCTGAGAAACTGGACCCATGAGTCGACCAAGTTCAGTAGCTTAACGGGGAACAACCGACCCGTTTTTTCGACAGACGTTCGCCCCCCAGAAACAGATGAGTCGCTTGCTCAAAACCGATTCGTGTTCAAAATGGTCTACCCAGAACCACGCTTCAAGAATCAAGAAGGCGGAGATCCGCAACTATTCATGGCTGGGATTGTCCCTTTCTAACCTTCATCCACCCGGGTTTTGAGCAAGTGGCTCAGATGTGTTTTGGTTTTGTCGGTGCTTTGGAGGACCTGGGCCAAGAACCCGCCAAAAACAAGTGGACGCGGGCGGCCGAGGCCGGCACATGGCCGCCGTAGCGGTAGCAGCAGCTGCAGCCCTCTGCCACCAGCCACTTGGTGCCACGGCCCATGGGCCCCAGAGGACCCACGGGCTGTTCCTGGTGGAAAGTCACTTTAGGAACGCATGCATGCCTGTATGTATACTTACTGTATTTATATGTATATGTATGGAAGGTAGGTAGGCAATGCATGCATGCATGCATGCATGTATGAATCCCCGAACGTCCCATCCAGCAAGCCAAATCACCAATTGGGGGGGGTAAAGTCGCCTGCGTTCAACTGCACCCGATGTCTGAGGGTCAACAGAACGTGCAGCTCAACGGCGTAATCATTTTGCCAGGTGGATTCCCTCAACACTGGTTTGCTTCAAACTTCAGGTCATCCAGTCAGGCATACAGTTTGGTCAGCTACAAGTACACGTGCAAAAAACACTTTTTTGGCCCTGGGTTCCTATGATGAAGTCCCCTTGATGATGGCATTCTTCTTCGTGCAGCGCAACGTGCATGTACACATTTGGCCCAGTGCGGGTTTCCTGAAGTATGAATGTCCAGAACTCCCGGTTCTAGGGGCTGATTCCTTGTCCATTCTTTTCAACCATCGTTCTTTCAAAAACCGGATCTGTTTCCCCTGTGTTTCTGATGGTTTCCTGAAACGATTCGGATCCCTGGGTTCAGAATGGACATGGAATTCACCCCTAGCAGGGTGCGGCTTTTCATTCAAGGCTCGAAGTCCACGGAGCTGACGATCTTCTTCTGCCACGCCTTGGCATCCGCCACCGGGAGGCCCTGGCTTGGCTTCTGTCCGTTTGTCGGATCGTGAAAAACGGAACCCCGGCGGCCTTTTTGTGAGTTGGACTTGCGGGTGTTCGACGAAAACTCGACCAAACGAACGAACATCTCAAAAAGCAACCGGATGTATGGGACCCGCCAAAGATGAGTGGTTTGGATCATTGGTTCAGAGGTTGGAGGGTGGGTTCCCATTTTCCCTCCACAAAGGTCGGTTCAAATCCACGCCACCAAGTTCTAAACCACCAACCCGACAGGTTACCTGGATGAGAGACAGGTGCCAGGTGGATCATTTTCTCTGGAAGAACAAGCCTGGGCTGGGCAAGTCAACTGCGTTAAACCATGGCTTGTAGGTCTTGAAACCATGGCTCAGGCCAATTATGTTTGAGCCACGACTGTTTCAACCACGACTCCCAAACCTTCCAAAGAACCCAGTTAAACTAGGTTGATGGTGAAAGACCCCGCAAAACACCCTTTTAGGAGTCCTTGTTTGGGTGGATGAAATGGGGCCGAGGGGAGTTGATTGAAAATATGTGTTCGGTCCTGTAGCAAAAGCCGCCATTGGGAACGGCCTACCCCGACCTCGCATTGCTCATCCATGGGCTTCAGTTTGATTTCCAAATGACTGCGAGGTGCCAATGTTGAGACCTGCGTTCCAAATTTCGGGACCCTGTTCAATAACTAAATCCGCATGCTGAGTGCACCCTGGAAAGTTTCAGGTCAAGGTTGGAAAAGTAAGAGCAAAGATTCCAATTGAAGCCGGGGAACCTTGCAACCCTTCCCTCTCCGGAACAGGAGCTGCGCATTTGCTCTGTATCCGACGCAAATTCAATTCAAGGCCGACCACCGTTACCTGTGCGAAAAAAAAAATCAGGACGCACCCAAGACAATGCAGCCCTGGTACGCTACCAACCGACAAACTGGAGGACTGTACTAATCTGGGATGGTTTCCCTGTTATGTCCCTGGTTTAGTGGGGATTTATCACTTTTGGAGGGGAACACCCCCATATTAATAAACCGGGGTTTATTAATCCGGGGTCAACATTAGCAAGGAAAGCAGGTCCTCTGACCAGGGTACCCGGGACTAAGTCAACCTTCTCCCAAGGCGCTGATCGTTGGGGTCACGGCCGCTGTCTTCGGTACTATTGGAGTTCAAGGTACCATAGCAGGGCTGTGGGAAATGGAATCCACTTCTGTGATACCTGCCAATAAGGGCCTAACCCCAAAGACTAACCCACCACATAACGGGGGAGATTCCCTTGTATCACAGAAGTGGGAATAAACCCCTTGATCCCACAACCCTGTACCAGAGTGACTTCGAACAGTGGTACCAGGTTTTCCTCGTGCTCCGTCGTTAGACCGAAAGAGATGCCAGGGACAAAAAATATTCGCCATCGCGTCGCTATCCGTAACAGGGCTCCCTATATTTCCCCTTAAAACATCACCCCCACCAAGGGATACTCACCTTTCATGCGCCAAAAAGGTGATGTTTACAACCAGAAAAACATCGGGACACCTGCCTAAACAAAAACTGAGAACGTCGCAGACTTCGGGGCCCAGAGATTTTGGTTTTGACGGAGCAGTCCAAGATACCCCATGCAACCAACGTCGAAGGTAAACCTATGCAAAGGCAAAAACTTTGAGAGGGGTAGGGGCGCAAACCTCTGACTGTCCCAGGCCAATGGGTCATAAACACTTGTATTTGAACCCCCCTCTCCCCACCACACCCGCTGTGGCAGGATAATCGAAGAGATTGGGCCTCCCCAAATAGACCACAGACTACCAGCAATGTTGTTGTTGTTGTTGTTGTTGTTTACCTGCTGACTGCGTGTTTCCCAAGACGAGCCCAGGTGGATGCAGCGAGAGTGCAGGGTGCGACGAACAAACTAAAACACTGCCAGAACGGGCTACAGAATTTGGGTAGTTGCACATGCACGGCAACTAAAACAAGCTGAAAACAAAAAAACCGCGTCCTAGGCCAGCCAGTCATTGAGCTGTCAGCCTTCCGTTTGCCAAATAGGGGAGCCCCAAAAAAATGGTTGATGTCCATTTGGTGTCCCTGCCAAGCCCCAAGGAACCCCCTCTAGTTGGGTAGGGAAGCCTTCAAGAACCTCTCGCTGCGTAGAGAAGCTCAGGCTGCACCAAGCTCCGTTCCATGCCCGCGAGCCTTCTCCATGAATCCCACAAAGCCTTACTTGCAGGCAGCTGGGAAAGCCACAAAGAGCAGATGGTATAATATATATATATATACACAGACATCTACAATATATATATATATGTATATGTACATGTTTGTGTATACATATATGTACCTGTGATTGTAGAAAATATAAAAGATCGAACTGGCGGGCCTGTGGACCAGACTTCTATCACAATGAGCGCGTTGACACATCTGTGAGAAGGCGCCTGCAGATTAGAATGGCACCCAAAACACAATCGATCTTAATGTTGACCCCGGATTATTGATTAATAGGGGGGTGTCCCTTTTTGGTGGGGATTCATCACTTTTGGAGGGAACACCCCCTAATAATGGGACGGGTTTATTAATCCTGGGTCAACATTAGAGCAGACCTTCATGGGTTTGGGGGGTGGATAACACACCCAGGCAGGGTGAAACTTTGAATCCTGACAGTGCGGGGTGGCAAGCAAAGGCGGGCCAAAGAAACCTTAGCGGTTCCCGTTGAAAAAGACTGATCGAAGTGAGGGCACCCTGTCACCCTCAAATCCCTTAAAGAATGGAGCCTCACCACTTGACACTTGCGGCGAGCAGTTTGGCCGTTTTACAAGTGGTTTTCCTCTAAGCCAACCCCAACAAGAGACCTTGTAAAAAAGGACCCCCACATTGAGGTTTGACGGAATAGTGGTTCCCGAAAAACGCAAAGGTGTCCTTTTGGTTCTCCTTCAAATACCAATCAAAAGGGGTCCACCGGTTGACCCAAATGTCTCAAAATGGTGAACCCTTTACCTCTAGGGGTTGATTCCTTGTCCATTCTTTTCAGCCATCGTTCTTTTCAAAAACCAGCCATGTCCCAGGGTTTTTGGTGGTTGTCTAGAAAGAAGGATCCCCACAAAACAACGCAAAATCATTTTTGAACTTTCCTCTTTCCAGTTATCATGGCAGTGGACAGAGGGCCTCACCAAAAAGGAAAGTCGTCTTCCCATACCCTCCAATCGTCAACTTCCATGACTGCTGGTCGGGTAATTTGGGCGTTGTTTTCTTGAGAGAACGCCTTTTTACTTGGTTTTAAAGGGAAACCTGGAGGGACAACCAACTTTTTTTGGGGGGTTCCCATGCCTAAAGTAGCAGAACCCATTTGATTGGAGGGAATTCCGGCTCGCGCAGCTGAGCAGCAGCCCCGCTCGCAGAGCACCGTCTGCCAGCCAGCTGCGCCCTTGGAAACGATGGCCCACTTGGGCAGGCCTAGCGTTCACTCAGGTGGCCATGGGTCAAATTTCCAAAATCGTACCCCCAGTGAACATCCCAATTCCCACTAAAATAGGTTCACCTACCCCAAAAATGGGTGGTGAATTCACCAATCCCCCAAAATGGTTGACCCCATTTGGACAACCACAGCCGGGTTCTCAAAGAGACGGTCCTTCGGTTTCCCAAAGCTTCCAAAGCTTCCGCTTGCGGGGTGAAACGAAGTGAAGGAGGGACACGTCTACTTCCTCGGGTGTCCTCTTAGCTTCCCGAAAAGGCCCCAAAAAACCCTTGAGGGGTACCCAAAAAAAGCACCTTTGGATTTGTCCGGACCATACTCATCAGGGGTGGTCCTCGTCCAGGTCGGAAATGATTATTTAAAAAAGACAGGGTCCTTAACCAGGGTCCTCCGCAGCATTCCCACATTGCCATGTGCCAGACTCGACTCCAACAAATAATATGCCCAGTTGCCATGTTGCCATCATGTTTTCCACGTCACCATCTTGCGCAAACACAGTGTACAAAAACAACCCAACCCTGTTGTCATGAAAACGTGTTGCCGCCAAACCATAGTCATACTTCTTACAAAACAACTTGTTTCTTGCCTCTTCCAAAACTGGAAGGCGAGGCCTCAGCCCCCCTCCCAAACCAAACCCCACAAACCCCCCAAACCCAACCCAAGCCCCAAACCCCCCAAACCCCCCCCCCATACTCCCCAAACCCAAGCCCCAAACCCAAACACCCCCGACAAACCCAAGCCCCACACCCCATGCGCCGCCTGCGTCCGCTTCCTCTTCCACTTCTTCTTCCACATCGTCGTCGGGCAGCGGCGGCTTCGTGAGCACCAGATCGGGGAACCACCCGGGTTCTTGGAGCCCCTCGGTGCTGTACCCGTAGAGCCACTCGTCCTCGACCCCAAAGCAAAAAAAAAACTTTCCACTTGGTGTCGCTGCAAAACAGCCCCAAAAAAGACACTTAAAAAAAAGAACGGCACCCGTGTTTTGTTTGGTTCCGTTTTGTTTTCCCGCGTGACTCGGTACCCTTTTGGTTTTCGGATCCTGCGGCTTCTTGTGGCGTCGGCTTGATAAGTTGAATGACCAAGGACCGGACTTTTGTTGAAGACCCAGTGAGTACCCGCCCTTCCACTAACATACTGTGGATGGCTTCAAAATCCACATCGCACCACTTGGAAGCCATGGTTGAAACCATAACGCTTGTTGGTATTTACCGGGGAATCGAATCATTCCTTTGGGTTTCTTAGAACGGTGCGAAATGGACTTCGTCCACAGCACCTAGGGGAGGGCCCCCGGAAGATCATTTTCCCAGGACCTTCTGGCAGATGGAGTGAGGGTACTGAAGTACCCTGACATGGAGCTTAGCTGGGTGCAACGCTTCGGAACTTAGTGGTAAGGGATATTTTGTTTGAGGCGACCGACCAAAAAGACGCGGCGGACTGGAAAACGAACCTGCAGTTTGCAGGTTCTGCTATCATCATCCTGAAACACCACTGGCAAAAAAAGACCTCAACAACAAAAGTTACAGAAAACCCCGTGACGGAGTTCGATTGCCAAGCGAAACACAATGTCTTGTCGCCCTTCATATGGTGATCCACTCTTAAGCATGTGCAGTGCTGAACGGGCGCGCTTGAGCGGGTGCGCTTACCATTTCGCAGGCGCGCACGCAGTGCTAAGCGGGCGCGCTTGAGCGGGTGTGCTCACCATTTGGCACGCGTGTGTGTGTGTGTATATAGTGCTGAGCGAGCGAGCTTGAGAGGGTAGGCTTACCAGTTGGCAGGTATTGTCAAAAAGTGCAAAAACGCGCGTACAAATTCCCGGTGGCAAAACAAAGCCCCCAGGAAAAATATGGCGTGGAGCCATTCCTTCTTTGGGGCAACATGTAAAAAACGTGCAAAAGCTGTCATGGGGTTTCTCGAAATGGGTCTCTTATTTTGAGCGAGCCCTCTTTTTGAGGTTAAAAAGGGAAACCACAAGAACAATTGTAACACTCACCATGATATTTGTTGTTGTGTTGTTGTTGATTCACTAATTGATTAGTGTACTTATTCATGTATTTATCTATCTATTTATCTATGTATCTATCTATGTATCTATTTATGTATTTGAGGAGGTCCGCCAAAAACAGACACCCCCAAATGGTTGCGTTGGTTCCCTTCGACGCTCAGTTTTGACATACATCCGTCTGTTAGGAGCTTTGTCCGTATCCGCAACAAGTTGCTTCGCCAATGGACGCCCACGGTTGCATGCTTCGCTTCAAGCCATTCGCAGAAGCAACTCGAGAGACCATAGCAGAACCTTTCCCGTTCTCGAATCAGAAAGTATTCGCTTGACCAATCAGCCCTTTCTTCGGGAAAATGGGTGGTTTCCAAAGGGAATGATGTGATGGAAAATCCAGCCGACTTAGTTGCCCCGAGTCGGGATCCAGGACGAAAAGGCGATCGCATTTTGGGGACCTCGTCTTTACGGACTCCCCCCTGAAAAAAGCACGGTGCCTTTCCTTTTGTTGTCCCTTTAAACTCAACCGAAAGAGGGGGCCCCCAGAAAAAGACGAAGCCACATGAGCGTGCCTTCTCTTGAGGCTACCCTTTGTTTTGTAAGGGAGCCCAAAAAAGAAGAAAGCCGCCGTTTTGGCCGAAAATCCCAACAACAACAAAAAAAACGCCCCGCACCGAAGCAACCGCAGCTCACGCCCTCCGACTCCCGGGCTCGAAGCGACCGAATCCCTTCGCATCGCCTCGCGGTGCATGACCACCACCCGCTCGCCCCGACGGAGCTGCAAGTACCCGCCCATGGGAGGCAGGTAGCCCCGTTGCACCTCCCAAAAGAATGGGCGTGGCTCAAAAAACACACAAAGGAGCTGGGGCAAACCGCAGCTTGTAGTCTTTGGTTCCATTTCCCAAGGTGCCATGTTGGTACATGTATTTGAGCCACAGCCGAATCAATGGGTTGGTCTTCAAATGGAACACGCCACAAATAGTGTGTGCATTGTGTGTAGGTGCGTGTTTCCCTTTAGTTGCCAAAAAGACAGACCCACATGCAAATGTCGACCGCAAAATCCCGAATCCGAAAAACCGGGCGGAATCTGCATGCGAACCGCCCAGTGGGCAGCAAACAAATCTGTGCAAGTCTCAAAGCAGCCAACCAGCAAGCAACAGGAACCCTTGATTTTTCTTGATACGGAGCGTTGATCTCCCCCCGTCCCTTCCCCATAACATCGCGAACCCCACCTGCACCACCGCAGGTTCTGGCTCCGGCTCCTGCACCACCGCCTGCCAAAGCTATCCGAGAAGAACCGCATGGGTGTTTCTGAGAAGGATAGCCCAACCACCAATTAACATGGAACCTGACGGAAGGCCCTTTAAGAGGAAGATGGTCTTCCAGGACCCCCGTGTCAGGTTCCATGTTGATTGGTGGGAGGGTAGCCGATAAGTTGTTGTTTGGAGTTCTTTGGTTGTTCTCGGGGTTCTGTCGTGCTCCTCAGCGAAGGCCAAGCTTTTCAAGGGAGCGCAGTTCAGGTAGGACCGCAAAGGTAGGCAAGCACAAAGAAGGGTCGGTTTTGTGTAAGTAGAAGACAGGCCAAACGCGATCATGACTCACCAGGAGCACACAGCATGAACAATACTGATCCCTGTATGTTCGATTATAACGCAAAACACAGGGGACCCCGCTATTCTGAATCATAGGTGACCTTTTGGCGAAATAGATGGCACTGGTACATGGGGCATAACACCAAGGTAAACCAGCGGAACCCATCTATTTCCAAGCAAGCTGACCTAAAAAGGACACCAATGTTCCCCCAATTCTCTGGTAAAAAACGGCAGACATTGGTTTCCGTGAACCAACCAGCTCAGGATGAATTCTTGAGGCGCGATGGGCTAAGCCTACACTCCCTGAGATCGTTCTGTCAGCAGTTGCGTCACCGGCGCTCCTTTTTCGGGACGTGGGTACCCCGAAAAATAGGCCACGCTCCAAGCCTCTGGTATTGAAATGGTCCCAGGAACCACGTAAAGAACCAAAAGCGGCGGAAGTCTCCGAGCCTCAACCTTCATCTCCCCGAATCGGTTTTGGGCAAGTGGCTCACATGGCTTTCTAGGGGCTGATTCCCCATGTCTCCCCTAATTGTTTGATGGTTTAAGATTCAGATCCCTGGAAAGAATGCGGAAGGTAGCACGGGAAAAATGGCGGAACTCTCCCTCAACCTTCATCTCCCCGAATCGATTTTGGCTCGCCCGATCGGTTTTTTGGCGAGGCACGGATGGAAGCGGCTCCAGGGCAGAGCTCGGAAGCCATCCGGAGATCTGGCCCAGGGTGGCAAAGGCCCACCTGAAAAATCGAAAATAAATGTGGCTTGCACCATTTCGGCGGGAAACAAATCCGGGCACCCACAAGTACATGTCCAGGTGATGTCTCTAAAAAGACAAGCCCATGTGGGTGGATACCAACCAAAATTGGGTTGGTTTCAAGTCTCAAGGCAGACAAGAAGGAAAGCCTCCCTGCTCCTGGGTCCTATTTTCACCCATGGGCATGGGTCAAAATCCAAATCGCGCCAGTGAACATCCCAATCCAACCACTACGATGGACTAAATAGACCAAAATGGGTGGTGCACCTACCCCAAAAATGGGACCCACAGCCAATAAATGTGGGTCATGATCAAAACCCGGTACAAAAATGGTCGACCCACCGTGTAAAGAACTAAGAAGGCGGCGGCAACTATTTCCGGCTGGGCCTGCCCTTTACTAACCTTCATCTACCCGGGTTTTGATTGTGGCTCAAATGGCCATGGGTCAAAATCCAAATTGATAGATTCCCGCTAACGCCAACAAGAGAAAATGAGAAACATATTCCTTTCGGCAAATGGAAGTGTCATTTTGGGGCCGTCGATGACACTCACCAAATTGGCATGGGTCAAAATCCAAATCGTGTCCCCGGTGAACATCCCAATCCAACCACTAAAACAGGTTCTAAAATGGGTGGTGAATTTACCTACCCCAAAATGGGATACCATTGGTTTTGACCCACAGCCAAATGGACGTCGCACGGACCAATCGCTCGAAGCGGTTTCCGAAGAAGTCGGGTTCTGGCTTCAGGGCTGACTTCGAAACTTTGATAACCCGCAAACAAAACAGACAAAACAGATGTGCCTCAAAATCTGGGACCAAAAAAAAGCCACGGATCTCGCCGTTTGCCCTGTGGCTTCCGTGAAAAAACACCCCAAGGTGCCCCATCCTGCCCACGGATCTCGGTTTTCCCTGTGGCTTCCCTTCCCATCAAATATATATATATATACATATATATATACATATATATATATATATAATAAAAAGAAGAAGAAGAAAAAAAAAAGTGCCCCTCGCGCCAAACAGACTCGATCCTGCCGGGCGTCCCCTTCTCCTCGCCCTCCTCGCCCAGGTAGAGGACCGTCACCGTGTCCCCCGGCCGCACCGTGAGATACCCGGTGTCGCTCTCGGCGACCACCTGAAGAAAAAAAAAGGGGGGCGTGACCTGCACGTCTGCAAACCACCGTCTGCAAACCACCGGGGTCCATGTACCTAAAGATACTGTTGTCTTTATATATATATATATATAGATATGCTTGTAGCTATATGTATACATCTATAGATATTTATATATATATATATATTCTTGAATGTATATATATATATGTATACATACACATAGTGTATATTAAGTGGCAGGGGTTGCTCACGAAAAGGGGCACCTTGTTTGAAGAAAGCTCATCAGCGGAAAATGGTGTTTGTCCTGCCCGCAACAGGTTCCTTTGCTCCCGGAAAACAGAGGAGCATTCTTGTTGGGGAACCTCTGGACCGAAGAGGCTGCGGTAAAAAACAATGTGGATGTGTCCTTAAAGTGCTGACTGTCCTATTATCCCCGGAAAAAAAAATGACGATAAAACCCCAAAAGGGGTATATCCTCAAAGGCAAACCCATTTTGGGGACCGATGCTTGACCCACAGCCTGGCTTCTGCGTGTTTATTTCTTGCTGGACCCTCGAGGACAAAGGTGGGGATTCATGACTCTCCGACGATCCATTCCAAATTGACAGGGATCCTTACATTATACACCTGAACATTGCCTTGTAAATGGTGGTTTCCCTTTATTCCGGTGGAAAAAGCCATGTTTCAAATGAGCAAAATGTATCTTTTCAGGAGCCCTGCCCAATAAGAACTCGGAGCCAGTGGCCCCGCCTTGACTCCCAGATCCCGGCAAAGGGGGAGAGGGGGATCTAGGAACCGTCACAAAATTCCAGCCCAAAGCGAAACCGAATCAAAGGTCTCCAGCCCAAACCCACGGTCAAGAATCAAAAGGGCTGCTTGCCGCACCGAATTCTGGCAGCACTATCCCCAACCTTTACTTGCCCGCTCGCATCTAGCGGTTTAACCTGCTATTCCTTATCACGATCCCCTACAATCCTCCCAACCTATCACTATCCCCTACAATCTCCCTACTGAACCTGCCTTTCCGCTTGTTGAGGGCCTCGGGGTCTCAAAGTAGGACGTGGAACCACCGAAGAAAAAAAGATATGGCTTCCCTTTGGCTTCCCTTTAAAGCCAACCCAACGGGAACCACAAGCCTGGCGACGGGTTCCATGGTACCGTCAAAGGTTCTGAGAAGTTGAGCGTGAAGCGCATACTTCGAATCCCCGGACAGTTCCAGGCGCTTGACAACTGAAAAACTGCGCGGCTCGGTACCAAAAGCCATGTCCTCAGAACCAAAAGCCATGCCCTCAAAAGGGTTGCGTTTCTTACTAACCTTCCCTTCAACATCCGCAGCTATTTATGGCAAGGGGATTGCTTTTCTTACCAACCTTCTAACCGGAGAAAAAAATGAAAGAAAAAAGATTTGAGCCAGTGGCTCACTTGAAAACTCTGAGCTTGACCACTGAAACATGCAATGGGTTTCTCGCCTCGTGCTTGGCCTCCGCAACGCAGCCCTGTTGCAGTGCCATGCCATCGGTGATGCTGATGCGACGAGCCACAAGAATGGATCGATGCTTGGACTCCTAAAACATGGGATGGGTGTTTGTTAAAATGCAAAACAAATGTTTACGTTCGAAGGGGAGCAAGAACTTATTATTGTTTAGCAAAGTTTAGCAGTTTTTCAACCACTCAACCACAGTAAGCAAAAATGTAGAAACAACAACCATGAAACCCAGAAATGGATTTCGGAAAATCCCCTTGCTTTCCATTACAGTACCCTTAAAACAGAAATAACGGAACTCCATCTGGGTGTCTATCAAGCAAGCATTATAGTTTCACCTGGTTGGGTTTCATATGGCTGGGCTTCTGTCCATCAATTGAGGAATGAGAATGGATCCATCAATCACTCCCTTGGACTAACACTAACATGATTGGGTGTCAAACCATTGAGAAATGGACCCATCCCAAATAGTTTCCTTCGGGTGTTGTGTTGACCAAGCATTAGGGAGAAAATGCCTTGCACCTTGAGAGGCAGCTCTCCGAGAGTTGAGAAAGTGCCCATCTACTTGCACAACTCTATGCCAATGTTTTCTCTGCCTCTCTTAAAACCCAAACCAAAAAACATGTCTCAACGGTTGAGCGCGACCCTGCTGAGATCCACAGCTGCGAGGGAATCGTCACTTTGGAAGTCAGATTTGGACATGACCACAAACTTGCTGCTGCTCAGTGGGGAATGAGGGAATGAACCCAGGGGGTCCATTCTCAAGGAAACCAAGAGGGATGGTTGGTTTACAAGGGTCATTCCATTTCTCATTAATTGCTGAGCACCAGCAAGCAAAATAGGACATGGATGGACCAAAACCGCACCATAGTGTATCAACCAGTATTCCAACTAGTGCTGGATTTTGACCATCCACAGAGGGGAAGTGTGGCACGCTCTTGCCAAAGCCCAGCCTGATTATTCACAACCTCGGCATCGAGCCGTCTCCAGCTGGCCACATGATTTTTCCATGATCAAAGTCACCCCTAAGTGGCGGGTTAAAGGGAAACAACCGATTCCATTTTCTAACTTTGACCCCAAAGAAACAGTCAAAACAATGACCACTGTCGCCAGACTTCACTTTTAGGAGCCGGCCAGGATGCATTTGATCATCGCTCCTCGCTCCTCGTTTCCGGCATGAAACGGAGTCCGCTTTGCCCAGCCCACCAGCTGGTCCGTGAGCCGAAATGAGTATGACCGAAGGGGAATTGAGGCGGAAGAGGGCGGCACAAGCTCAACACACCTGGGGATAGGAATCGGTCCCCAAAAACAAGCGGGTGGTTTCCTTTCAGGTTCCCTGTAAATAACAACCAAAGGATTGGTTTTGCTACCATTTTCAGAAGCTCCCCAGCTCAGTTGAGTTGGGCAAGGATGATCGGGCAAGCCGCACTGCACAAAAGCAGACCCTATCCGGGCACGGGAAAAAAGGGTGGACCCTTTGGTGGACACATCATTTAGGTAGGGATTCATGTCAACCAGCCACTTTTGAGGTGGCTCCAAAAAAAAACATCGCCATCTCCGAAAAGCGCTTCTTTTGATCCTCATAAGACAGACTTCGCGGGTCAAACCACTGAATGGATGGGCATTGACAAATGCGTCGCACAAGACACGGCCCTGGCTTGCGGTAAGACGAGTTCGTGGCTTCCCTTTGGCATGTCCCTTTGAACCAACCCCAAAAGCAGAAGCGTCTTCAACAAGACACACCCAAAGGGGAGCATCGAGAAAACATTACCTTCAGCTGGGCCGGCTCAGCTGGAGAATGCAAGGCTTAGCCTCGTCGGATTGGAAACGAATTATCTCGCATGGAGTTGGCTCGACTTGGGTGTGGATTCGTTTGAGGAGACCCCGGCTTTCTTGGGTGCTTTAAAAAAAAAAGGAATACCACAACTTTGGGGGGTCCCCTAAACTATGACACACCCACTTGTGTCCCGGGTTCTTCTTTGTGCAGTTTAGGGGGGAAAACCACTCCACGCGAGCGTCAACTCAATTCAAGCAGAAGTGCCCTGAATGAAAACTCCTGAGGCTCAGCTCCATCATAGTCCACAAGTTCGATCGACTTCGCAAAAAAAGGCACTGCCACCGTCAGCTCTCCAACTCTAGCAGCTTCTTGTCACCGCGGCTTTTGGAAAACAGGGCACCTCCTTTCTGCGTGGGACAATCTTCATTTGTTTCAGCCGGTGACAAGGAAAAGGAGCGGAGGACGCTGAAAGCGTTGAAAGAGCAATGCCGAAAACGGCAGAGCTTGCAAAATCTGAATGGCGCTGCAAGGCACTACCAAGCCCATCCCAGAGAAAACCGCTTCCCCGAAAAGCAACGGGAGCTACTCCACGGCAAGACCAGAACATCCGCCACCGCCCCTGCCCTGCCCTGCTGCCCTGCGCCATTCACCGAGGTTGAGGAAGATGATCTCAATCCAGGGTCCTGAGCCGATCCCGCCCCAAACATTACATTCCTGGGCTGTCCGTTTTCAGATCTCCTGCTAAAAGTCAGTTTAATTTGTGAAGGAACCAGATGGCTGGGAACCACCAAGATTACAATGATTACAACACTGCGCCACATTACAGTGTAAAGACTGACATATACACAGAAGAGTCGCGTCAATATTCAGTCTCTCCCTCAATGACCTTCGTCGCACGACATCTTGGTGACCCAGGTAGTGGTTGTCAGAGTGAGAAGGGGGGTGTTGCCATCCACTCATCCACTTCTTGTCACGTAGACTCGCTGCCTATATCTGGTCCCACTGCTTGAATGCTCTCCGAAAGGAGCGAACCGCTGGCCTTATGGGCCTGAGTCCTCAAACAGGGATCCTTACATTGTACACCTGAACATTGCCTTGTAAATGGTGGTGTCCCTTTGTTGGAAAATGCAACATGTTTCAAATTGGCAAAATGGAGATCTTTGCAGGAGCCCTGTTAAAGCAGTCCGTGTTGGAGTCTTTTTGGACAATCCCAAGAATCCAACTCCGACTGGCGCGCGAAACCATCTCTGGACCCCAGAACTCCCGACTCTTGAGCCCTCTGAGCGGCACGCTCTGGCCTGGGCGCGTCGCCCTTTTTTGGGGGGAGCCCCGTTTGGTAGGTTTTGGAGGGAAAACAGGGGGAACACTGCAATCCTTCTTTTTTTTGGGGGGGGGTCCGAGTTCTAAAAAAAAAGACGAGCCAGAAACGGACGCAACAGGGGATCCCGGCGCTGCAGTTTTCTCCTCAGGGAATCTGACGAGCGCCAGGATCAAGTACCTCAAGCGCTTCCAGCAATGTGGTTGCGTACCCAAAAGGGTCGCCCTGGCAAATGGAAACACGGACTAAAACCTGCAGTCCATATCCTGGTGGTGTAATTTTGACCCATACCCATCTGTTGCTCAACTGATCAAGACAATCTTACAATATGCCTTTTATGGACACGTCCACAAGGATCACAGCATCATCTACACCCTGTCTTTTGCAAGATTGAACACTATCAAGCATATCTATTCACTCGAGCACATCAACCCCAAAAAAGACATGCATGGGCGCAAGAAGAGCCCAACGACTGGCACGGACATCGCGTTACCTGCCGCAATGCTGCAAGGTGTGTGTGTGTGTGGGTATTGCCTGACTTCATACTTCATGTGTCCATGGGTCAAAATCCCAAGCCCGTACCCCCAGTGAAAATCCCAATCCAACCACTGAAATAGGTTCTAAATTGGGTGGTGAATTCACCTACCCCAAAATGGTACCATTGGTTTTGACCCAGAGCCATGTCTGTTACCCTCCCACCGATGTACATGGAATCCGACAGAGGGTCCCTTTGAAAGCATGGTCTTCCAGCACCCCCGCACGTCAGGTTTCATGCTAATTGGTGGGAGGGTACAGTTTTACAAGAGACAAGCGTCAAGCCTCACAATGCCTGGCCGGTGAACCAATCCCCCGAGTGCTGAAACCAAGCACATCCTGCCAAGCATAAACCAGAGCTAATGATGTTGTTTAGACACGAAAGGGTCACTTTAGCTTTATCTCTCATACGAGGGATCGGGAACGTCGGATCCATGACGCCATGACGCGATTGCCCAAAACGCGTCCTCGCAATGCAATCGCCACACGGACACACACACACAGCCGTGGCTTGTTTCAGGTCTCCCGCAGTGCGTTCTTCTGGACCAAAACCCACGTGTTGAGCAAGCAAAGATCGGAGCAAAATGAAATCATGCCAGCTCTACTGTTCACCATTTGCCAAACTGAAGAAATGCAAACCAACCAAATGTGGTAGTGCACGCTCCTTCGTGTCCGTTCCCATAGTCACCGATTCCAACACCCTTGAAAACTCTAGCCAGCGCCACACAGTCCGAAAGCCAGAGAAATCTGCCAACAAAAGAAAACTGCAGCTACTGAAGATGCATGCTCACCACCGCTCCCATCCGGCCAAGTATAGCTAGCTTCCCTCTAATTTGCAGGTTGGATCGGGCTTCCCATTTGCCCTCTGCACAAATCAGAGGTTCAAATCCCCAAACGAATCCCTCCCAACTAAACCCCCTGCACCCAATACCAAGTTTTGCCGGGTATGACAGCGCATGATGTCAACCCCTGACCAAAGGTACTTACCATGAAAAACTAGGTTTATGTCAAAAAAATAAACGGGTGGATATGTGGAGTACGGGGAAGGGTCCCTGATCCAAGGGATCAGCAGAAATGACCTCGCAGCTACTCAAGCACCCTCATAACTCCAGCTCTGAATGCACCCTTGTGTTTGATGATGATTCAATGAAACAAACAATTGTTTAGGAACAACAAAATAGACAAATAACAGACAACAACAGGCTACGTGCCTATGTGTGGCTGGTTGTTTACCAGGCTCTGATTCTGCTACACGCCGCATCCTTCAGCGCTACCCTCCAGTCCAATATTTCGACACGCGCATTGACCAGGATATAAGGCAATTTTTTCAACGCAAATCCCACCAAAAAAAAAAACTTTCAGGGGCACGTACCAGGGGTACGTGGTTTAGCTCTTAGATTGAGAAGCCTCAACCTCCCCCCCTTTACCCCCCCCCTTTGGGCCAAATAGGTGGGAAGCTTCCGGAAGCCTTGCGGAAGCCTCCTTGCGGAAGCTTCTGAAGCCTCCTTGCGGAAGCTTCTGAAGCCTCCTTGCGGAAGCTTCTGAAGCCTTAGGGAAGCTTCGGGCAAAAGGGGGGGAAGTTGGCCTCCCCCCCCCTTTTTCCCGAAGCTTCCCCAAGGCTTCCGGAAGCTTCCCCAAGGCTTCTGGAAGCTTCCGGAAGCCTTGCGGAAGACTTACGGACTTCTGAAGCTTCGGGGGAGCGGACGGGAATGGCAGGGGGACCGGGAAGGAAGGGGTGCGAGTGGGACGAGCATGAGCGTAGTGGTGGGTGTCATTTTCCAGCGGTTGTCGCGCCGCCAGTCAGGGGGGCCAAATACTTTAACAGTGCTATAACACTCCAATAGCAGTCTCAAGGGGGGGGTAAAGGGGGGGGGGTTATGCTTTCTTAATTAGAGTAAGGTTCCTTCCATGTGAGCAGAGAGTACCACTGGAGCATCTTCACAACATGTGTGCGCTCCTCCGGTGCAGCCCTCTGCTGCAGAAGAATTGAAAGACTTCGTCCTTCACTTGAGCGGCTCCGATAATAGTCTGTGATCTCTCAATTGACCGGCTTTGGCCAGAGTCAAGACAAACACATGATGGCAAAGCCTATCAAGGCTGCAAATAGACCTTTCGCCTTCTGGAGACATTGCCTTACATGTGCCATGCAAGAAAACCACATTTGCTTCACGAAGCTACATTCGCCACTCACGCCCAGAAAGCTATCCATAACTTAAAAATTTCACCAGAACACAGGGCCAAGGTCATAAAGCTCCAAATCAATTTAACTCACACCTTCAGACCATGGGACCCCCCCCCTTCACTACTTAAAGGCCAACAGACAGCTATGGGCCAATAGGAAGCCAAAGGCAAAAGGGAAATCAAAAGAAAGGCAAATGCATTGATTTCCCAAAGCACCCATTGATTTCCCAAAGCAAAAGGGAAGCCAAAAGGAAAAAATCACTCGGACGCTTCGGGAAATCAAGCGGAAACCTAAAACCCGCCGGATCCGCCTGCCAGCACCCGCAGCTGCTGGTCGGTGAAACCCTCGAGGTTCAGCTCGTCCACCGGAAAGCCCTCGACAAACACCATGCGCGGGAAAAGAGCCCTGTTTCTCTCAAGGGAGAATCCAGCTATAAATGGGATGTTCAGAATTTACTGCCAAATAGAATTAGCTCAGCGTGTTGGGAGACCAACCGAGGTCAAAAACAAAAAAAGGCCGCGACCTACCATGTGTTGGTGGCATAGAAGGTGGTCCTTTGGAGATGGCAGTTGATTGGCTTGTTGCATTTGGTATTACCCTCCCGCCAATTAGCATGGAACCTGGCAGGGAGTCCCTTTAAAAGGAAAATTGTTTTCCAGGGTCCTCCTGTCAGGTTCCATGCTAATTGGTGCGAGATTGTCAGGGATATACTACAGCTCAATTTCTGAAAGCGAATCAAAGGCTTCTCAGTGCGAGCACTTATTCCGGAAGATGGGAGGTGTTTTTTGGCTTTGTTCAAGCGACCGATGTCCTGAATTGTGTCTCCACAGGAACTTGGTGAGAAATCCAAGTAACCCCCGGTTCCAAAATAAAAAATAGATTAGTGTGCGCATTGAACTCCCCAGAGTCGGTGAATATGGACCGTTGCTCGGCAAACAGGCCTCTTCACGACAGGTCAAAAGCAACTAGAACCCCCAACCAAACCAAACCTTAAGCAGGGACTGACATCGGCTCTGGTCACCCAAAGTGAGGATCTGCAAAAGTACCAACAACAACAAAAAACACGCTCTCTTCATTGTTGCTGGCTGGTCTTGCTGTCCATGAAATATGTAGCAAAGTCACCCTCTTTAAAGGAGTTCAACCCCTGCTTCTGACTGCAGTAACTTTCAGAAGTCAACATAACATAATGACACATCTTCTATGACATGCAGAAGACGAGTGACAAAACGGGTCCAAGATGTGAGCGAGCCGAAGCCATCTGAGTGCTGAGCCTGCAGTGCCAACATCTCGGGACCAATCATCCACCTCAGGCGCCGGCCGATGACCTCCAACTTTTGTCCAGCTGGTGGCGTGCCAGTTTTTGCTTGAACGCAAAAGAGGTCCAGGTGTAACTGGACCATCCAACTGCTGCTTCTTCTTTTTTTGTCCCCGAAGCAGAAAAGAGGTCAAGCCACCAACTCTGTACTGGCGGTTTCCTGTCTGGGGATCCGTTTCCGGCTGCAAACCCAGCTGCCATTCCAATCCTACGACAAAGCCCAACCCTTTTAACCCCCCTGAACCCCCCCCCCGCCTCCGGCGATTGAAGGCCCACATTTTGCTGCCCGGCGTCAGACCTTGAAAGAAAGAGAGCATGCTCCTCTGAGATTCCAGGGATCCGAATCTTAAAAAAAAAAAAACGCACCCACAGAAGCGCCGATCGGCTTCAGAACGGTCGAAAGGATGGGGAGTCAACCGAGAAAAGGGGCAACCGCCGTCAAAACATGCGGTTTCCGAGAAGGGTACGGGAAAATGCGTGTGTCCCCCCTGTTGTTGACATTGAAGTCGGGCGAGTCCCTTCCAAATTGACCATAGACTGGTAATGTTTATGTCTGTGAGGTAGCTTGAAATGAGCCCCGCACAAAATCACGTGCCTGGAGGACATGGCGAATGGAGCTTCCCCCTGACTTTCCATATGTGTGTGTGTGTGTGTCATGTTTTAGAGACAAACCCATATGTCACATGGCCGACGACGTTGAAAAGCCACCCCCCAAAAAAAGACCTGGGGCAAAATGGGGGGGTCATGGATGTGAATTCCAATCAGAGACCCGGACCGGTGGACATCAGACTTCGGTGGGTCCTGATTCATGTTGTTTATAAACCCTGTTTGCTAATATGGGGCCGTTCCCCTCCAAAACTAATGATATCCCAACTAGACCCAGGGACACCCCGACAGCAATAAACTGGGGTTGATTAATATTGGGGTCAACATTACGCCCGCGAGCTTCTGTGGTATTTTGCAGGGGCCCTCCCACCAACATGGCACCTCACAGAGGGTCCCTTCAAGAGCAACTTCATGTTCCAGGTACCCTCACACAGGTGCTGTGTTCGTGGGAGGGAGGGTACCCAGTGCATGCTTGGGACCGTAGATGCCGCGCTTAGTTCCGACTCTTCAAACGTGGCCCCAACGCGGTCTCGCCCGACGAGGCCGAGCCGCAGGGGGTGGACCGAGACCTGCTGGACCCGTACAGCGCGCTGCGAGAGATCTCCGCGAAGAAGTCCCTGGCATGCCGAAAGTCTGGACTTGGACCCGCATCTTTTGTGCTTGTCAAAGGGTTGGGTTACAGGCAAATCTACAGGAAATGGCCCCAAAACACCCTAAATCAGCTGTTTTCCTGTAGAATTTCCTGTAACCCAACCCTTGAGTTTGCTTGGTTCTGCTTTTGCTTCTCTTTAAGACGGGTACCCTCAAAAAAAGAAACACCCAGGTCAACACAATGTTCATGGACAAAATGTCTTGGCAGCAGTTGGTAGGTCGAGACCCATAAAATGGACCCTTTTCCCGTTGAAGTCTTTGTTTGAAGCCCAAAAACTGATCTAGCCGCACCTTTCCCATTCTCTTCAGGGATGGAATAACCCATAGGTGCTTGCCCCCAAACCAATGACAACGCCCATGCAACAAACATGGCCACCCAGTTAGCTTCCGATTCCCTTGAAAAAAAAAGAAAGGTCGTGTGCATTTCCTTTACAACCGCGAAAGAAAAAAAAAAAGTACCCTTAACAAGAGACGTAGCCATGTAGCAACCGAACCACCTGCAACGCCCGGATTCCTCGGTTCGCGCGCGAATTTGCCGGAGAGACGAGTTCATAGGATCCGGCACCGCCTGCGACACATCACTAGTGACCTCTGCTCCCGCGTGGATTTGTCTCAAGGTGTGGAACCCCAGGAGCAGTTGGTTCCTTTGGTGTCCGACTCTAAAACCAACTAAAAAGGAGACCCAAAAAAAGCACCCAGGTCTAGGTGCGTATGGTGTGCACGCCTATGACAATAGTTGCCAATGCAACGGAGACGTGCGCTTCATTCCGGGGCGAAGCCGTTGCAAGGCTCCAGCAGCGCAAGGCCTCTTCTCGGGTATGCTTGCCACGAAAAAAAAAAAAAAAACGTCCACCTGCTTTTCGGCTGCACGTTGGGCAGCGCATGGCTGCATGACAGTTGGGTGTGTCTTTCTTTTTAGGGGACCCGCAAAATGGCGTTTCTTTCGGTTCCCTTGAACCCCGTTTTGCATCGCTCCTCTAAACCGAAGCACTAACTCCTCCCTTTCAGTCCTGTCCAAACGTGGAATGGCTGCATGCGTGACCAAATGTAGAGATATGACAGATTTCCGAGCAAACTTGCGAGTTGACAAATGTAGAACTTTGCCTTGGCCTGGCTCGGTGCTCAAGAGACAACTTGGTTGGCATGTGGCCGGTACAACCAAAAGCTTCGAGCCTTGCTCTTGGAGATGCGGATCGCTTGCAATTCCAGCACATCCTGAAGCCGCCAAAACCATTCCCTGCTGCGCGAGCTATTCCAGCTGGAAATGCTGAAGAGACCATGGAGCCTTCCCTATCACCCAGCATGTGCTTGGTTTACTTCCAACAAGCTTCCTTGTAAACTTATTTCGAAGCCGCTCCACTAGGAAAGACCCAATGGCCCGCAAAGCCGCAGAAGCCGCGCCTGCGTTCGTTGGCTGAGGAAGCGGGACCACCCGCATCCCTTCGGGATCAAGGGCCCCTGATCTGGCCTCGCATTGGTCAAAGTGATCGCAGCGAAAGCTTCTCTGCCCGCAAAGTTGGAAACTGTTCAAAGTACCCTACACTTCCCCCTTCAAACACCACCCCCATGCACGCAATTTGCTGCATGTCTTAAGCTACCAAACAAGAAATATGGCTGTGGATCAAAAATGGATACCCAAAATGGAACCGTGCTAAATGGAACCCATGACTATAACAGGCGGTCCCCTGGTGAATCAATTTTGACATAAACCCATATGTGGGATCCCCCCCCCGCCCCCCAACGTGACAAGCCCAACGCGCTTGTTTCACTGCGCCTCACACCCAACTCCTTCCGAATCTTCTCGTTGGTCGCTCTCCAGCGTCCTGGTCAAATCGGCCCAAGAGGCCACCAGGCTCGCGGGGTCCGGCTTTTTTTTTTGCTAGGATTCGGGAACCCCCAACAAACACTGGACTTCCTGTCCTCAGATCTGCTAGTGCAACTTGTGGGCTACATCTGCAACTGGACTTCCTGTGTATTTCCTTCAAAAGCCGCAACACAAGGATGCCCTTAGAAACAGACGGACCCGAAGACACACCTCCGGGTCTGGCAGCGCCAGTGTTTCCCTTCGCCGCTCCTAGTTTCTTGGAAGGTGAAAACAGCCCAGCCACGGCTTCGCAGACCAGGCGACATGCCACTTGTTTTGTTTGGGGACCCAACATGGCTGCGGTTTCCCTTTTGGTTTCCCTGTACCACAAAAACCACGGCAGCCCCGGGCCCTCGAGCCTCCCTTCGGGCCGCGGAAGCAGATCCTGGCGGAAGAACACGCGCCGAGCCGCGCTCGCGCGCCCCCCCAAAAAAAAAGAGCTCCAACGAAAAGCCCCCAAACAAGAAGCATCCACTCCACTCCGCCCCCCCCCAAAAAAAAAAACTCCGCCTCCCGTGCTCCGCGTTCCAGGTTTCCAGTCCTTGTGGGCATCTTTCTCGGAGAGAAGAAAGATCGAGTCTCGAAGACCGAGAAAATCGAGTCGCATCATTTCAAAGCCGAAAATCCTGGGAGGAAAAAATTGAATCTCGAAAAAACAGCGAGCCGTGTTTCAAAACCAAAAATCCTGTCTGGCTTCTTTGACAAGGACATGAACACAACTGTGAGGAATCCTTGACACAAACCCGTATCACTCCTCTCGCTCTCACTGTGTTTTTCTCTCGCAAACTGACTCTCCGGTGCCAGACGGAGAGGGTTCAGGGGACTAACCTCTGCGCCAAAAGTCTCTGCAGTTCAGCTTGAACCTCCTCTTCGGTGTCGTCCAGCATGAAGGCATGAGCCGGCACCTCAATTCGGCCGATTTCAAGGACAAATCCGGCAGTCCAGGAACCTTGCAGGACCCACCAAAATGGACTTCAGTCTTCCCGCAGGTTTATATACCTTTGAAACCAACCAAAAGGAGGTACCCCCCACAAAAAAGACAGCTAGGTTGATCAGTTGGTTTTTCCCGGGTTTGTCCAGGTTCGCCTGGAATCGTGTCCATCTGCATGTTAGTCGATTTGCGCATGGCGCTCCTTTGTTGGAAAACATGACATGTGCGCGACCGAAACCGAAATCGGCACGGCAGCATGCTGTTCAACCGAAAAAAAAAAAAAAAAAAAAAAAAAAAAAAAAAAAAAAAAAAAAAAAAAAAAAAAAAAAAAAAAAAAAAAAGACTGGGAGGCCTTCAAAGCGTATCAAAGAAAGTGGCAAGTGCATCAATCATGGAAGCTGAAAGGAGCCCAAAAAAAACTCCAACAAGAGCGTGTCTCTTAAACTTTGGGGACGGGACCCTCAAGATGAGTGGTGTTTTTTTTGGTGTTCCTTGAAACCGATCCAAAACAGGGTAGCCTTCGCCTCAAAAGACGAGCCACCCGGCTTTGTTGCACCCGCCCCCTCGACTCCACCACGCTGGGCGCTGCGCCCCGGGCGAGGCCGCCATGCCCCGGACCAAGCCTCGCCAGCACTCCAGCGGAAGCTGCAGCGGCAGATCCCGGCGCACACCCACGATGTAGACCTCAAGCGCCACGCGGGAAGAGCCGCCCAAAAGCGATGGAAAACCCACCCAGCCATCAGCCCGACCCACTAGACTCGTTTTGGCGGGATCTTTCTGGGTGTTGCTTTTTGTGAAGTTCGACTCCCCAAAACTACCAGAATTTGTGGGCTGTTTCTCCCCCAGTTGCAAGCATAGCAGGGGCAAGACCTGGAAAAGGCCGCCAGGAGATCAGCGTTGGGACAAAAACTGGAACTCTGATTATTCCAAAGCAACGTAGGGGCGTTTAAAACCGCCAAAAAACCCCTCAAAAAGAGACACACCCATACGCCTCCCAGACATGCTCCAATGACCCAGTTTGCCTTTGCTGCCTGCCAGCTTCTCTTTGCTTCCTTCCCTTTGCGCTCGGCGCAGGGCTCGAGTGCGATTCTGGGGCAGGTGATAGTCCATGGAGTTGACTCGCCATCCCCGCACCTGACGCTAGCGAGGGAGTCATGAGTCCCTGCTTCCTGAGTCATGCACACCCATTTGAGTAGCTCCGTTTTGTTGAAGTGCACGTGTTGGGGTAGTGTTAAAGGGAAGCAAAAACAAAACCACCCTTGGGGTTCCCCCACCTATGTAGAGACAAGCCCATTGAAGGCTGTAATTCCTTTGTTCGAGGCTAATGGTACCTTCTTTGGGGTTGGTTTAGAGGGAAAACAAAAGGAAACTACCTGCTCGGAGGGTTTCTATATTATGAGAGAAAGACAAAATCGGGGGCCAAAAAAATGTGGCTTTCCTTCTTCTTGGTTCCCTTTAAACCAACAAGGAAAGGGGGTACCCTCAACAACAAGCCCGCTTTCGAAGACTGCTGGAAGACTCCGTGAAGACTGCAAGACTACCCGGAGGTTTTTTTTACAAAAAGCACCCTCTCACCCGGTCCGGGCACCCAAATCTCTATGTGAGTCACAGTCAAAACCCGGTACACAAATGGTCGACCCAGAACTATGTAAAGAACTAAGAAGGCGGATATCCGCAGCTATTTATACCCGGGTTTTGAGCACGTGGCTCATGTGAATAAGGTCCACCTAAGGAACCCCTATTTGACTTCACCAAATCGCAGGACCCCTGGCTTGAGACGTTTCAGGCTCGAACGTTGAGTCCATCAGCAGCTTCAATCTATGGAGCTCACAGGTCGCATGTGCAATCGAATCCTTGGCGGTTTTGCCCGCTGCTTGTTGCCTTGTTGCTGTTCATGTTTCTCAGAATCAAAACAGTTCCCGAATGTGGACACGACTGAAAATCGACTCTCCACATGTTGCTCCAATTGTGACTGATTCTCTTGTTCTCCCACTTAAGCTTGTGAATAAACCTCATCTGACCGCACCCAAAAGCAATGGGAGCCGGTGCTCCTTCCACTCTCTTGGATTGACATAGGTGTGGCTCTAGTAATATATGGACCCTTGGGTGCGCGTCCGAATTTGGCGGGGGTTTATGCCTTTCATTCCAACCAATCCATAGCCTGGAGAGCAAGTATTGGGGCTCTCACACCTCCATAAGGAGTTCGACTCAACTGGGGTCATTATTTGACTGTTTTTGGGGGTCATCAAAGTCAGAACATGTGGCTGTTTCCCTTTAACCCACCACTGAACGAGGGTGACTTTGATCATGGTAATTAAAAAAGGAGGCCAGCTCAATGGAACACCAAAAGGTCACCCTCCCCCTTTGACTTTTTTCGCGCCTCATAGGGCAAAGCACGCAGGATGTCCATAACCTCCTCGATGGGGGCCTCACCAAGGAAAATGTTGCATCCACCTCTGGTTTTGGAGCTCAGGATCCGGTGCGTTGGTTCAGAATCTAGGGATTTATCTTTCCAGCCCTCGGTATGGGCTTGCAAAAACCTGTGTGTTTTGCAGCCCGCCAAAAATAACAGAGCCAAAAAGATATATAAACCTAAAAACACGCCAACAACAGCTGTTAAGCCGGGATCGAGGTCTGAGGGGAAACGCTGTTTCAGTCGTCAGAAAAGATAACGTTTCAGCCCGAATTACGAATCACGGTATAGGCATGTGAGCCCCGAGTAATCTGGTCGATTTGGGGGTCTTTTAAATTGGTTAAGTTGCGCCCAAAAAGACCAAACCATCCAGAAAGCACCCACTCTCATCAAAGATCACCTCCCGCCTAAGGCATAACCAGCCAGTTCCTGAATTTAACTGGAAACTAGGCTGTCCCACAGCCAAAACAGCCACAACAGCCAAAACAGCCACGATTCCAGCCGCAAGCCCTCCGAGGCTTCATCCTGGCCTGTTGCTGGCCGCGTTTCTTCATGGTCAGCCCTTGCACGTTCTCCAGCAAGAACGTCCGCGGCTCATGCCTGCGGACATCGGCATGCTCATGATCAGCAAGCCAGCGGCCATGGCTACACGCAGGTGGGCGGGTTTCGTCCCTCTTTTTTTTCGGGGACCCCGTTTTTTGGTGCATTTAAAGTGAAACCCAAAGAAAACTACTCACCCATGTCAACGCCCAGCCTCTTGATGTAGTTCACCTCGTTTAGACAGAAAGCAGTTGCAGTCCCCACCACTCTGAGCGCCCCACCACTCCGTGGAAGGTTGCAGCATGGGGGCCCTGTAGGCAGGGCCGGTTGGAGTTGAGCAGGGAGAAGTCCTGTCGGCTCCAAAACGCTCCGAATCTACGTGGCTGTGGTGATCAAAAAATGGCTAAGCCCCAAAATGGGTTGCCCGATCGGTAAGTGGAAACATAGCCCGAAAAACCGGCGGTCCAATTCCTGTTGGCCAGCAGAACTACTGGTTGGATGCGCAATGTGCGTCCTGTATACGTGCATGTCCTTACTTATGTCTCTAAACACGCTTGAACGAGCACAAGGGCTAGTAGCAGTGGCGTGTAGTGATGCGGTGAAGGATATTGAAGTTCTTCAAACTGCTCACAGCCCGCCAGAAGGCCCAGCAACGAAAGCTCCGGCAGCTTCAGAAACAAATCGAACTGCAGAGCACATGCCTCACAAAGCACTACATTTGTTACATATGCCAACTCACTCAACACCCTGAAAAAGAAGGGAACAAGCTGTCAATGATTCTTTGGATGTTTCTCCTGTGGGCGGGTGGACAACTGATACAATAGCCCCTTAGCTCGGTCAATAGCGTGGGCAATACGGGCATGGTGAGCACCCATAGGTTGCAGCAGCATTTCTTCCCACTGGTTTTGGCTTCCATAAAACACATTCCCGGCCTCGGGGGATGCCCGGAGCTTGTCCCATGGTTGAGCCAAATTGAGCAGCCAAAATGGATTTCCCAACAGAACCTAGCAGGGAGACGAAGGGAGGCTTAACTGAAGGAATGAAGTGAGCCAAATAGACGCCCACCACAAACAAGCTGATTTTGAGTATATTTTTACTCGGTTGCTTTCTGCTCCCCTGCTAAAAGTTTAACTTTTAGCTGCGTGATGGCAAACCCACTAGTTGGCAAAAAGTTAAAGTCCTAACATCCCTTGGCGAAATGCACCAGAGTGTTACTTCAAAATTCCTTCCACTACTTAGATGCCCACCAAAAACACGCGGATTTTGACAGGGATCCTTACATTATACACCTGAACATTGCCACTTGTAAACGTTGGCTTCTCTTTATTTCGGTGTTGAAAAAGTTAGCCACGTTTCAAATGGTTGGCAAAATGGAGATCTTTTAAAGGAGCCCCGTTTGAGTAATGTTGACCCAGGATTAATAAACCCGTCCCATTATTACGGGGGTGTGTGTTCCCTCCAAAAGTGGTCTGAATCCCCACTAAAAGGAATTGGACACCCCCCAATCAAAATCAACCAGGGGTTCTGCTTAATCCGGGGTTATATAACATTATTTTGGTTATTGGTTCCTGCAGTTCCTGTGGCAAGGTGTAACTGCAGATGTGTATCAGATATTTTATGTGCGCCAATCAACAAGTGTCAGTTCCTTCCAAATTCCAATTCACCGCGCTCGACACGTCGGTTGGGCTCGGCTCCTTGCAAGGAAACCCCGCCACGTAGATGTCCAGGTCCGAGGGCACCGGCAGCTCTCGCTGGGCATTGAGACCTGACTGACGTGTCCGCCGTCCTTTTTGCTTTCAGGGTGTGTCTGTGTGTGTGTGTGTTTTAATATATATATATATATATATATATTAGTATTATTATTGCTTTTATTATTATTATTATTATTATTATTATTATTATTATTATTATTATTATTATTATTATTATTATTATTATTATTATTATTATTATTATTATTATTATTATTATTATTATTATTATTATTATTATTATTATTATTATTATTATTATTATTATTATTATTATTATTATTTTTATTATTATTATTATTATTATTGTTATTATTATCATTATTATTATCATCATGATTAATTAAATTAAATTATGTATTTATGTATTTATTTATATAATTATTTATGTATGTATTTATGTATGTATTTATGTATTTATTTATTTATTTATTTATTTATTTACGGTGCTGTTCAGGGTGCGATGTTTTTGTGGCTGGGTTCAAGGGGCATCACTTGCGGTCAGCCGGGCCTGTCTTTCTTTTTTGAGGCTACCCCTGGTTTGTCGTTCTTAAAAGGGAAACCAAAAAGAAAACCGGAAATTGGTTTGGGAGGGTCGCCCTGTTTTTAGCTGACACGCCCTTTTAGGAACCGAAACTTCGCCCGGGCGAAGTCTTACTCGACCCGAGATCCGCAGGAAAACACCCGAGTCAAGGAACTGTCATGGCGAGGTCGCCAAAAAGAAAGGTACCACCGGTACCAAGGTTCAAAGACATGGTCATCTTTGCCAATCCCAAACCAGCCCAGGTTCACTTAGTCGCACACTAAGGCAACCCTCAAGCCACCTCTCAACCAGCCACGCACCTAGCACAAATCAAAAACATAAAACGTTTGGTATATTCTGGCAACGCGCGAATCCGCTGGTGGGTCAGGGCCCCCTATTCTCTGCGGCCTCTTGAAACATCACCCTGAAAGGGAACGGTTCGCTTCCACGTGGCAACCAGGAGGTTCTCTGAACCAACCCGAACGTCCGGCCGAATGAATGCGCCGGTTTTCTTTGTGCTGGGTGTCCGGCAAAATCCTGTCTCCCCTCTGTCCAACAAGTTGCGAAAGAGCAGCGTGGGCTGTGAGTTCTGAGCCTGGCAGAGAGAGAGAGAGAGAAAGAAAGAGAGATATGTTTTTTTCACTGCAACTAGCCGTGTTTGGTGAAATGAGCGGCCTATGTTTGACTAATGAAAAAAATGAAAATGAGAGGCTAGCCTAGCCATATTTGCCCATTTTTCACTGCCCTAGGTTTGCTTCAAATGAGAAGGCCCCAACAAAATGGCTCGTTTCCGTTTGCCTTCCTAAACCAGCCAAAAGGGGGTGCCTCCAAAAAAGACGAGCCACCCATGGTATCTCTTCCACATGCTCACAAGGTACGCAGGGTTCTTGGAACGTGACATCCCCCAAAGGGCATACCAACTCTCCAATTGGAGTAACCAGGGAACCAAGGTATTCGGACCTCTGCAACGGTTGCTTTTCCTGTTGGTGTTCCCTTAAAACAACCCCTTTTAAGGGATCGCCCCCCAACACAAACGCATCAGGTGTGTCGATTTTAACAGGTTCCCTTTTTGGGGATTGATTTCAAGGGAAACTAAAAGGAAAACCACCATTCGGGGCTAACCCGTGACAAACACAGGCTCCTATGAGCCACAATCAAAACCTGGCACAAAAATGGTGACCCCAGAGCCATGTAAATTAGAAAGGCGGCCGCAACTACTTCATCTACCCGGGTTTTGAGCACGTGGCTCATATGACGTTGCCATATCATTTGCCCAGCACGATTTGGCCGTGGGTCAAAAATAGGTACCCGGCCCTAAATGGCACCCTTGGAAATGGAATCAATGACTCAAACCCGCGGTCCTCATCCTGGGGCTTTAATTTCGACCCATACCCATATGGCATATTGGCTCAAAAAACCGGAAATTGCCAAAATGGCTTGCCCGATCGGTAAGTGGAAACATGAAAACCAAGACCTGCGGCGCCAGCCCCTGCCACAGCCCTTCTCACTTCTCTGCGCCCGAGACTCCGGCGATGAACCGTCGCGACGCTTGCCCAATGTCGCAGGCCTCAAATCACGGCCACGGTTTGGCGCGAGGTGGACTTGCACCATCTCCCATAGGCTGGTGATCACTTAGAGATATTTGAGCTTTTTTGAGTTGTATCCGGATTTTTTAGATGATCACAGCTTTTTCGAGTCATATCTGGATCTTTTAGATGATCGCCAGTTTGTGCCTGGGCGTTTTTTGCACTCTTGGATCTTCGCCCAGTTAAGTGGAAACGCCGCAATGGGTTCTAACCCGCTAACAGCGCTAACCCCACGGGAGGTGACCAACCACTTACCGGCTTGGCCGAACACCCAGGTAGCCATTGCGTTCCAAAGTGCCTTTGGCTCCTTTGCCGGAGATCTATGAACGAAGGCATGTCCGGCACCCTTTCCTTGCTTAAGAAAGCCTTAGAGCTTGTCATGACTCCTGCCCGATTGATCGTCATGCTACATGTCGAGTACCTACTTGCCGTGAGCTGTCAAAATCACTCTGGCTGCTAGCAGCTTTATCCCTGGAATCTGCGACTGATGTCACCATCCAAGGTGATTCTCTGTTTGGAAACGCATGAAAACATAACATTATATTATGTATTCTATTTGACTCTGTCTCAGTTCAACAATACAAATGAGTGGGATTGCTAATGCTTCTGGTAACATAGCTCAAGTTCCGAAATCCGCCCACTTTCATTGACAACATCCAGTCTTCGAGAACTTCGGCAATTGGTGAGGCCATGACTGTGAAACGAAGAAGTGCCAGCTTCCAATCCCACTGCGAACCGCTCCCAAAGAACATGTGCCGGGTTCCTTTAGGTTTCTCCTCAACTTCAAAAGCGGAGCTCCCCATGTTTTGACACACCCACATGAAGCTCAACAAAGAGGGGAACCTTCACCATGGCTTCTCTTTGGCTTGTCCTTTCCAAGAAGCACGCCGGGTGCAAAGGAATGCAAATCTACGAGCTCCCATCCGCAAAACGCCCATGGTCTCAAGACTTGAAAACCATGACCTCCATGCGGAACCCGGGGGGGGGAAAGGGGGAGGGGGGGAGGGGGGGAGGAGGGGGGAGCTCTGAGCTCCGCATCTTGGAGCCCCCGCGAAGCGGTGCTGCAGCTGCAGCTGGATCTGCGAGGCCTCGGGGCTTCGGAAGCCGAGACGCCCGAGGCGAAGAGAAGCGAAAGCGGCCGGTGGAAGCAGCACCAATCAGAAATATGAGAAGTAAGGAAAAAGAAAAGGAACAAAGACAAGACTCCTTCTCATCTACTGAGTTTCGCATACTGTCTTGAGAATCTTCTTCCTTACTTGCCTTAGCTACTGAGACTTTGGCAACCCAAATAAAAACATGCAAGTCCGGTTCGCTGGTTCCGTGGGCTGCTACTTCCCCGACAGCAGCAAAGTGATTCAGCTCCATGTACGTGTCAAAATAAGGGGACCCCTCAGAATCTGTTTCTCGTTCTCCGCGATTCGACTCCCTCTCTGCGCTCTGCGAGAGCGCAACCGTTGGTCACAGCTTTGCTGCGACGGCCATTCAGCTCGCATCATTAACTGACGTGTGCCTGGGAAACAGCAACAAGGTGCATGGCATCACGTTCACAAATAGCTCAAAATGTCGGCGAAGAGTCCACAACGTTCCAAACAAAGAGACCTAAGCACTACAAGAAGCAGGTGTCTTCTTTGCCGAGGGAAGATCTGAGCTCTCTAAGACTAACCTGAAAAACTGCCAGTGGGCAAGGCGGCAGTAAAGCACACCGCGGCGCCACAGCTATGTTGGCGTTCCCAAGCGGGACGCAGCAGAAACTGCAGATTCTCCCGAGAGTCCTGCGGAAAGGCTTCTTGAACTTCATCTCTCCAAGAAGAAGGTACTCGGAATGGGCGTCGGTTTTCCTTGGACCCTTGAAACTCAATCATAAAGGGTACCATCGAAAACACACAGACACACACACATGTTGACTTTTGCCCAAGTTTCACAAGATTGCACTCAAGGGGGCCGATTCTGGCTTCGTTTGCCAAAAACGCAAGAACGGCTCAAGTTCTGTCATAAAGACTCACTTCTGGATGGCAAGCACCAAGGGTCACGGCCCATTCTGTCTGCCCCTGCCATCCCCTTCCCATTGGCTCCTGTAGACTCGGAAATGAGAGTGTTCGGTGCTCTCCGGCCTGGATTCCAGCCTCAATGCGAGCACCAGATGCTCAAAAAAAAAACGCTTCTCAGCGCGGCATTTCCGAGAATTGAGTATGTGTGTTTTTTGAATGCAGACCTTTTCAGGGTGGTTTCAAAAGGAATCCAAAGGGAAAACCGGAATCCATCTTGGGGAAATGAAAAGGACAAACCCATTTCAAGACTGAGCGCTGCTCCGTCGCAACTCGCCGCCAGCTTTTCCGCCGGCTCCAGCCTCTCCACAGACCTGCAGGCCCACTGGCCAACAGCTCGACAGCCCACAATCAAAACCGATCGAATTAAAATGGTCTACCCAAAACTATGTAAATAACTAAAACCCAAAACTATGTAAACAACTAAAAAGGCGGCGAAGGCACGCATCGGTGGCAAAGGGACTATCCCTTACTTGCATCTACCCGGGGCTGGAACTCGCGCCTGTTGTAGCCCTGGCACAGGTTCCGCCTCACACCGGTCGCGAGGATTCCACTGCCAGCTTTGCTTGCCAATGAAATCCATGTGGGGGTGTCTCCACGTAAAAGAGCCTCAAAAATGGGTGGTGTCCCATTAGTTGCCCTTTAAACCACACCAAGGTGTTATAACAAATCATGCCCAAGGTGTCGTGCTTTTGCACAAAGCCTTGGAACAATGCGGGTACCAGTTCCATGTGCCTTCGGGGACCATTGATTGCGTTGCGCTTGCTCTTGAATGGGTCAACATGCGGTTCCTGGATTTGAGATATTTGAGGAAGTGACTGAGAATTGTTGTTAGGGGACTGGCAACAAAAGCAAGGTGGGGTAGGTTGACATGAAATCCCATGCTGGAAAGGTGGATGGGCCATCACTGGCGTTTCCAAAAGGCCTGGCGGTTTTCAACAAATGAGTTGGGCTATACGCTGAAAGGGAATGCCAAAGGTTGAATTTACACCAAACATGGCCCACTAGGTACACATCGCTGGGTGCGAAATGGAATGTGTTTTTCTCCAACAGGACACCAAAAGTTTTGCTTCTGGTCGACTCTTGCAGACTGGGGGCAGGTGATCCAAGTCAGACTCCAGGGAGTGCAGGGCCTTGTCTTCCTGGCCTGGGTTGCAACCCAGGAAAACCAAAAAGAAACGGGAGATCGATAAGAACACATCAGCGTTTTGGCCTGGAGCAGTGCATCCAATACTCAAAACTAGAGGCCTGAAAATGTTGAATCTTGAAGTCAAGAATGACTTTCACGCGCTTCACGGCGCTTGTTTTTTTGGAGTTTCAAAGCGCCTCAGTGTTTAGACTCTCCTTTGAAGCATGGCTTCAACGTCAGACCCTGAACAACCCCTGAAAGTTCGTACATATTGCTTGTTGGGCCTTATGATATATCAAATGTCAACAGGAGCCTGTTGACTGTTGACAACATTGCAAGCATCATTTTCGATGCTTCTGTCTGTGTCGTGGCAAATTGACTTACCCTCCGCCAATGTTGGCTCTTGTTCAGGGGTATGCCCCATGATGTTGCGGAATGTTGCTTGGACCCTCAGCCAATGTTGGCTCTTGTTCAAGGGTATGCCACATGATGTTGCGGAATGTCGCTTGGACCCTCAGCCAATGTTGGCTCTTGTTCAAGGGTATGCCCTAAGATGTTGCGGAATGTCGCTTGGACCCTCAGCCAATGTTGGCTCTTGTTCAAGGGTATGCCACATGATGTTGCGGAATGTCGCTTGGACCCTCAGCCAATGTTGGCTCTTGTTCAAGGGTATGCCACATGATGTTGCGGAATGTCGCTTGGACCCTCAGCCAATGTTGGCTCTTGTTCAAGGGTATGCCACATGATGTTGCGGAATGTCGCTTGGACCCTCAGCCAATGTTGGCTCTTGTTCAAGGGTATGCCACATGATGTTGCGGAATGTCGCTTGGACCCTCAGCCAATGTTGGCTCTTGTTCAAGGGTATGCCACATGATGTTGCGGAATGTCGCTTGGACCCTCAGCCAATGTTGGCTCTTGTTCAAGGGTATGCCCTAAGATGTTGCGGAATGTCGCTTGGACGAGAAAGAGGGGCATACCTCTTTTTTGCACATATATATATATATATGTATACGTGAGTGCTTCCATGTGACAGCAACTGATCGTTCGAAACTGCAGAATATCTTTCCACGTGGCAGACTCCAGCGACTGATCAATGGCATTCCTGACTCACCGCGCCTTTTACATGGCAAGCCGTTGCAATGCTATAGAATTGCCAACTGCGCGTCATGCACTTGTTGGGGGTGTCTCAAGATAGGGGACCCCCAAAATGGTGGCTTTCTCGTTGGCTTCCCTCAAAACAAGACACACCCAGCTCAAACGATTGCATTGAAAATGTCAGATATCATTGATGTGTGTGGACCTCAATCCCGGTGCACAGCTTCATATTAAGTGCATTGCTGCACTCAGGAAAAAGAATTCTCTGCCTGTCGCAATTGGGCGAATTCATGCCTTTGGAAATCTTGTAGAAATCCTGAGTCAACAGTGCAAATCGACACCCCACAAACCCACACACACACAGACTACGCAGAGCACACAGAACACACAGAACACACAGAACCCACAGAACACACAGAACACACAGAACACACACACACACACACACACCCGCGCGCCGCGTGCAGCTCCAAATGACCCCGCCGCCCGGGTCCCAAAAAAAAATCCGCCGAGCTCGTGGCAGAAGGCGCGCTGCTGCAGGGCGTGCACCTGCTCCGACAGCTCGCGGAGCTGGGCCTCCACCTCGGAGCTCTCAAGGAAAACGACCGACGGAAGCGACCCGGATGATCTTCTCGGGAGGCGAGGCAAGGGAGGAAAGGGAAGGGAGGAAGGATGGAGGGAGGAGGGAGGGAGGGAGGGAAGGGAAGGAAGAAGGGGAGGAAGGAGGGAACACATGTATTTAGCTGCAAGCTGGGATTCTAAGGACGGCACACCTTCAATGCGGTCTACCTCCAAGCGTGCGCGGCTTTCTTGCATTTGAGCACGAACATCCTGGCAGGTCAAACGAAATCAAGGCATTGCACAAAGGAAGCAACGTGCAGCAAGCATATCAGGCAACCACAATACCACAATTCACTTCTGTGCTCAATGAACTGGGTGCGGCTTGTCTGTACCTACTGGATGAAATCCTGCACCACCCAAGAAACTCTGCAATGATGATTCCCCTGTAAATTCCAGCAAACCATGGTTTCAACCATGGCTTCGTTTCGTGGTGCGAACGGATTTCGCCACCATCCACGAGCGACAAAGATCGAGAGCCTGTCCTGGTTGCACAAGATCTCTTCGGCACCGATACCCGCCATGTCCAAGTGCTGGTTCATGACGGCACGGACCTTGGAATCTGGTTTAGCTGAGTCTCATATTTTGGGACTGGTGGACATCAGGATTTAGTGGGGTTGAAATGTCCACCAATCACTTTCAAGGGAATTGACCATTCACAGACATTTGGGCTTCCATTGATCCGTATGCTTGAGGAATGTGAAAATATCTCAGTTGTTCCCTTATTCGTGTGTGTTTCTGTGTGTGTGTGTGCGTGTGCGTATGTGCTGTGTGTGTGTTTGCGTGTCTTGTGTGTGTGTGTGTGTCTTGTGTGTGTGTGTGTGTATCTGTGTGTGATGTGTGTGCGTGTGTGGTGTGAGTGTGTCTGTGTGTGATGTGTGTGTGCGTGTGTGGTGTGAGTGTGTGTGTGGTGTGGTGTGCTGTGTGTTGAGTTGTGCTGTGTGTTGTGTGGTGCTATGTGTTGTGTGTTGTGTGTTGTATGTTGTATGTTGTGTGTTGTGTGTGGTGTGTGGTGTGTGGTGTGTGAGTGTGTGTTGTTTGTTTTGTGTGTGTTGTGAGTATGCGTGTTGTGTGTGTGTGTCTTGTGTAATGTGTGTCTGTGTGTGATGTGTGTGCGTGTGGTGTGTGTGTGCGTGGTGTGTGATGTGCTGTGTGTTGCGTTGTGCTGCGTGTTGTGTGGTGCTGTGTGTTGTGTGTTGTG